CGTTCAAAATTCCTTCTTCTTCTTCTTCTTCTTTGGAGCCACCCTTTCCCGAAATCCCAAGGCGTGTGTTGATGCGCACGTATTTATTCCAAAAGGAGATCCGTTTGGACGTTGGCGTGGAAAACCTTGCCAGGGGCAAAGTACACTCAACGAGCGCACTGCTTGATTCAGGCGCTAACGGGATCTTCATAGATCAGGTCTGGGCGGAGCAAATTGGACTCCCCCTTATAAAATTAGAAACGTCTATTCCCGTCTATAACGTTGACGGTACGCTTAACGCAGGTGGCTGTATTACACACAAATGTTCTTTTGTGGTCGAATACCAAGGACACAGAGAACGAGTCACTGCCGAGGCTACCCAACTAGGGAAGATTAATTTAATCTTAGGCTGGACCTGGCTATTTAAACACAATCCTGAGATCAACTGGCAGACAGGGGTTGTCACATTGTCACGTTGTCCCCAGGAATGTGTAAACTTGGGTAAACCAAATCATGTCCGTCACAATGAGCGTCTCGAAAAGTTAAACGCTAGTCACGTTTACGAGCTCAGATCTTTAGAAAAAATCGACGATGACGATGATGAGGTAAAACCTGAGGAAGAGATTAAGAGGCTGGTACCTCCCGAGTACCACGACTTCTGGAAAGTCTTTTCGAAACACAAATCAGAGCGCTTCCCAGAGGCTAAGCCTTGGTACCATGCTATAGATTTGAAAGACACCTTCAAACCAAGGAAGGGACACATGATACCGCTCTCTGCTCCCGAAAGAGACGAGGTATCTAGTTTCATAGACGAACAACTTAGGAAGGGTTACATCAGACCTTCCAAAAGTCCTATGACGTCCCCGGTGTTCTTCATTCCTAAAAAGGATGGTAAAAAGCGCATGATTATGGACTATCGTTACGTGAATGAGCACACAGTTAAAAACGCGTATCCGTTGCCTTTAATTAGTCAGCTAGTAGACAAATTGGCTGGCACCAAGATTCTGACTAAAATGGATCTCAGATGGGGGTACAATAACGTACGAATCAAAGAGGAAGATGCTTGGAAGGCCGCGTTCACGTGCCACCGAGGATCTTTCGAACCCCTTGTTATGTTCTTTGGGTTGACCAATTCACCGGCGACCTTTCAGAGCATGATGAATGAGATCTTTGCGGATATGGAAAACTGTGTCGTCATTTACATTGACGATTTATTAATATTTACAAAGTCGGATGATGAGGCTGAGCATGACAAAATTGTGCAAGAAGTCCTTCGACGCTTACAGGAACGGGACCTATTCGTCAAACCCGAAAAATGTAATTTTAAAGTGAAGGAAGTAGACTTCCTCGGTATGATCATAGGCCAGAACGGAATCAGGATGAACCCTGAGAAAGTTCAAGCTATTTTGGAATGGCCAGAACCTACTCGCGTCAAAGGGGTTAGGGCTTTCCTAGGCTTAGGCAATTTCTACCGAAGGTTTATTGAAAACTTTGCAAAAATTACGAGACCGTTGAACGATCTCACCAAAAAGGACCTTGTTTGGCAGTGGGGCGCCAAAGAACAGGAAGCTTTTGATAAGCTTAAACAGGCATTTACAACAGCACCCATATTGGCATTCCCTGAATTAGACAAAGAGTTCCGGCTAGAAACCGACTCTTCTGACTTCGCCACTGGGGCTGTTCTATCAATCAAATGCCCTGATGATCTTTGGAGGCCTTGTGCCTATTTATCGCATAGTTTGTCGCCTACAGAGCGCAACTATCAAATATACGACAAGGAGATGCTGGCCATCATTAGAGCTTTAGAGCACTGGCGGCACTACTTAGAAGGTGCTAGGCACCAATTTGAAATTTGGACCGATCATAAGAACCTGGAGTACTTCATGACGGCCCGAGACCTGAACCGGAGACAGGCCCGCTACGCGGTGTACTTGTCAAGGTTCAATTATAAATTAATTCATAAGCCAGGAAGCTCAATGGGGAAAGCGGATGCTTTATCTAGAAGAGAGGATCATGCCAACGGCATTGAAGATGACAACAAAGGTGTCACCCTGATAGATCAATCAAGGGTTGCCAATGTTAGAATCGAGCAAGATTCCGCTCTCCTAGAAGTCTTCAGGAAAGACATCTCCCCAGAGGAAAAGGCGCGCCTTGACGGCAATGAAAACTATTTATGGAAAGACGGGCTCTTTCATTTCAAAAACAAAATCTATGTGCCTGAGTCCGCAAGGATCAAGGCAATAGATAGACATCATGATACTCCAGTGGCTGGGCACCCTGGATGGCAACGAACGATGGAGTTGATCTCCAGAAACTACATGTGGCCTGGCATGGTCAAAAACGTACAGGAATATGTAAAATCCTGTCTGAGATGCGCCATGGCCAAGAATTCCCATCAACCGCCGGCGGGTAAACTCATGCCGAACCCGATACCAGCTGGCCCCTGGCAGGATATATCGGTGGACTTCACGACGGATCTGCCCGAGTCAAATGGGTACGATTCAGTAATGGTGGTAGTAGACCGCTTCTCCAAAGAAGTGGTATTCATACCCACCAACAAAACCATCACCGCCGCCGGTACAGCAGACCTATTTAAGGATTTCGTATGGTCAATCCATGGGTTACCAGAAACGGTGATCTCCGATAGAGGACCGCAATTCGCTAGCGAATTTACGAAAGAATTATGCCGGATGCTGGGCATCAAACCTAAATTATCCACGGCGTTCCATCCGCAAACCGATGGACAAACGGAGAGACTCAACCAGGAGTTGAAACAGTATCTCCGGATATTTATTAACGACAGACAGACAGATTGGGCCAAGTGGCTAAAGATAGCCCAGTTCTCTTATAATATTAAACAGTCGTCGGCTACAGGAAAGGCACCATTCGAGGTTACTAGATCGTACCTCCCCAGAATGGGTGTAGAACCTGGCAAAAGCAAAAACGAGGCTGCTGGGAACATGGCAAAAGACATGAAGTCTGTCTTGGACGAAACGCACAAGGCGCTATTTAGAACTGCAGAGCAGATGAAAGACAGGGCAGAGCGTAGACGCTCTAAGGCCCCTGACTACAAGGTCGGCGACCTGGTCTGGTTAGATACCGACCACTTAAAATTAAAAGACCGGCAGTCTAGAAAACTGACCGAAAAGTGGATTGGCCCTTACCGGATTAAGGAAGTCAAACCTAATGCGGTGGAGCTGGAACTCCCAAAACGAATGAGGGTGGTACCCACGGTTAACATTAGCCGTGTGAAACCCTACAAGGGACCGCTGCCGGGACAGCGTGTAGACCGGCCCGGTCCGGTATTAGTCACCCAGGAAGGAGAAGAAGAGTTCGAAGTTGAACGGGTGGTAGATGCACGCTTGAAGCGTGGAAAATTAGAGTTCCTGGTCCTATGGAAGGGCTACGGAGACGAGGACAGAACGTGGGAACCAGAATCCCATCTGGAAAACTCCCACGACGCTGTTCGCGAATTTTATTCTAGGAATCCCTCAGCTCCCAGGAAGCTTAGAGGCATGGATTCAAACCTTTTTAATTCCCTCTTTCAACCTATGCCCGAAAATTTTACCACTACCTCCGGAATTTGGTCTCGCCTGGAAGTCGAGCCTTAGAAGGGGGGTAGTGTTACGATAACACAATTTCCGGACATCTCCTTTCCTTTTTATTCTCCGCTTTAACTTTATACTTTAAGTGCCACGCGGCATTTCCCTTTCTCGTGCCGCGTTGCCTTTCTTTTACTTTTAGACTTAACTCTCTCACGCAGTGGAGCTGGCCATACGGGCTAGGCCCTATGACATCATCAGCCACTGCCTTCATCAACTGTATAGTACACATGTACAAACATCCTGTAGTAGTATATATACCCCAATAGATCCAGGAGACTCCTCAGCGAGTCCTCCTGTTGTATACCAACTAACTCACTGCAGCCCAAGGGGTACCCACTCCCCATCTTCCACTACCTTTATAGTGTGATCCTGTGTGCGCCAGAGTAACTAACTCTTGGTTGTTACATCCCTTCTCAACAAAGACCCAAACCGATACCACCGGTGATAGTGGATGGATTTCTAATCTACATTCATGCAGGTTTGCTACTTGATCACTGCGCTTTATGGACACTTACAGGAAAGGTCTTGACGGCAAGCAGGCAATGTGGGCCAACAAGAGATATCGAGGACACCGGACTTTACCCATGGGTATCATGGGAGAACTTGCAGCAGCAGGCCTCTGAAGTGACTTCTTGACATACTAATACACTCTACTAATCCATTCAGTCTTTTTAAACAGTCATACAGCATTTTTTTTACAGCTTGTCGTACCCTAATGATATTTTTCTTTGTAGATTGTACCTACTCCCATGCTTAATGTACTTAGCGCACACTTATCCTCCCGGATCACCTGACCATCATGCAAATGTCACAGCACCACATAGTGGTTGCGTTTGCATGAGTCCTATCTTAAAAGTTCCAGGATGTTTACTGATTTCATTATTGCAATGGAAACCTAGACCATTGGTCCAGGAAAATCACTGATATTAAGTGTCTACATTGTATGATAATTGAGTGCTAAACAATGAAAGGGGTTATTTTGGGATTGAGGTAGATATACAATCATATATTTGGTGACAATTGTTCTATATACCGGCCTAAATATTGTCGTTTCTGACTGAGCATCAGTGACAGCAACAACACCAAAACTTTCACAAAAAGTTGTGTATATGAAAAGTGACATACTGTCATCACTATATTTAATTAGGTCAGCAAGGGAGACTAGGCAAAAGGCGGCGAATGAGGATTTGGGCTAGTTATTTAACAGGGTCTAGTGGTGTATTTTTACGAGGTAAGACACGAGAATATACTCAGAGACGATGGTGCGTGATGGGGGTGAATATTCCACTTTAGGTAGTGACTCATGATAACGTGGCAATCACCCTGAACCCAATCAGCACCCACCAAGGCACATTTTACCACAATTTCCGGTCGATCCACGCCTGACAGTGCTCTCCTGTCTTTATGGTGGTTTAGTCACAAAGTCAGGTTATGATTTCTGTTCATTTGGTTGTTAGCCTTGGAAAAGAGTGAGCTAAGACAACTTTAAGAAACTTTCATCGCAAAATACTGATAGTACGAACAGCCGCCCAATGATAGCAGCAGGTATTGCTGATATTGTCTCTACTACTGATAATACCTCTTTTGCTTCCTCAATTCTGACCTCATCGACATTTTTATAAATACACTAGCCCCCCTTATGCATCATTCGGCAAGCCATTTCTCGCACTTCTTCGCATATTTTTCCAGCAATTGGGCTAAGTCTCTGACCACGAAAGTTAAAACGACAGTGGCGAAAAACTCGGATACACGCCTCAATCTAACCTCTACGGTTGACCTTACGTCTGTGGGAAATGCAGCATATATAGGAGCAATAGGCTGCGACGTGAGGGCCTTGGTATGTTCGTCGAGGAGCTGCGTTTGTGAAAAGAGTTTGCTCAATCCATTAACATAAGCGGCAGGTGAATCGAGACTGACGTTGACGTGAGTTATTATACTGACTGTGAATTCATTAAGGAACGACGTACTTCTTCCCGTTGGTAAACTTGTCAAATTGCCGCGTGAGCTTACCGCCCCATGACGTCACCTAGTATGCAACATAATAATTATCACGAGTATCACGATAGGGAATTTTTAACAAAAGACGTACTCCGCTACTTTTCTTCAGCACAAAGCCTTCACCGACGCCTAGCTTTTTACCAAAGTTTGCTACCACACTATCACATACTGCCGAAAACTCCTCCAACTTACTCATCCACGCTTCAGCTTCTTTCCTTCCGACACTCCCAATACCTAATGCAAATCCACTGCAGACACTGCCCGCGCCGAAATATTCGGCACTGTATTGCTGCATCTCCTCCAGAGCAGAACAAAGCACTTCTACTACGCGTACCTTCTCCAATATATTGCTCAGCTTTGCCCCCCCTTGTGACCATACTTCTTGTGGCACATGCAAACGTCGTGTGATGTATCCCCCCGTTCTAGACGTCATACTATGCGCAAGGAGGTTCATTAGATGATATGGCTTCCGCTGACCATCAACAGGGGGTGCAGGTGGTAACAATGAGGTGGGAGTGGTAGGAAGGCTACCTGCATTTGTAACTGGCGGTGGGATGAGAACTGAAACAGGAGGGACAAAGAGATCGGTGCTTATGAGAAGCTGTGGTGGCTGATCGTTAACATAAGGCTTCAGAGATAAAAATGCTCTAAGGGGAGTACATGAGCCATCAAGGCCAGGTGTCCGTGGTAACGGCGGTTGCGGTGAGTGAGTAGACGAAACATAGCTGTTGACTACCGAGGGTCGACGGCCAGGTTGCGATGATGCCCTACTCCTTCCCCTTACAACACTTGCGGGAGCATTGACCGTGGCATGTCCAGCAACTGAATCTATTGGCGAAGATGGCCTGGGACGGTTGGTCGATGGAGGAGCAGACACCTTGGTACGCCTTTGATGAATAGTACCCATATTGGTTGAAGGGTTTATCAACTGATATGACATAGGAGCAACCTCGGATTGTGAATAAAAACTTGGTGCCGCAAGTGGAGTCGACAAGGAAGGTGGCGGAATATTCTGCAGACTCCAGTTGCGAGTGGAAGACTCGTTAGGAGTTAAGATACTGGACGGAACAATACAATGTGACGGAACAATATCTGTAAGTTGAACCATGGGTGGAACATCTTTACTTGTACCGGGCGGTTGTGAACTCGCTGTCATTGCGGTAACGGGGTCCAAGGTTTCTGCTCCCACTACTGATATATTGCTTGTAGTAGAGCTGGCACGTGCCCGCTGGGATTCCACAGGCCTCCATACAGATGGAGCTATCGAAGGACTGTGGTGCAAATTTAGGGGAGCAGTCAAATTTGAAGAAGAGTGCAATAAAGATGGAAGGGCGGATGAGGCCCGTGGACGCCTCATATTTTGGCCTTGAGAGACAGGGGTATCTTGATACAACAGAGAAGTTCGGATATACTCAGATGATAATCCGTGGGGATCTTCGGAACGAAGAGCAAAAGGATGCTGACCCAGTCCAGTGTGATTCACATGACCCTCGAATGGAATGTTGTCCGCGTGCAACGCGAACTGTGAACTTAAGACATCTACACTAACAGAAGTGCTGGGAATGGCCTCGATAGCTGAACCCAAAGAACCAGCAGAAATTTGACCACCAGAGGACAACGCCGATGCGTGAGAGTCAGAGGAGGCCGAGGAAGACGGAGGCGAGAGTATCTGTGCAACATCACTCGATAAATACCCCGACGATGTTGAATGAGGTAAGGGTGGTATACTATATATCAGGCTAAGGATATTCATACGATCGGCGTATGTATCGTGCTGTGACGATACAGATAAGCAAGTGACTCGAGGGTTCCACAGACTGACGTACGATGGACTGTAATCTTCGTACTTCTTCCTCCTGAGCTACAACACTGCGGCGTCGGCCAATACGCCTTTTCCCTGGGGGATCAGTGCTGTCCTCGCCTCGCCTCACCCTCTCCATCACTTCACTGAGAAGCGCCACGCTCCGACCATAGGCAAGAACGGCAGCATAAGGATCGTCATTGGTGGAATCCAGTTTCACAGCTTCTCTGGCCAATTCCAGAGCTCTGGTAAGAGCGCGACGCGAAGAAGGACGAGTTTCCGAGATTGTCCTGCTCTCTATCAACCTCGAAGACAACAGTTGATGGGATGGGATTTCATCATACTGCAAGATAGGAAAATCATGTCAGGTCTAGCATATTATCAAATAACAGAATTAGGACGTAAACTTACCTCTGACCGAATGTTAGAGGGTGGTGATGAGGTAGTCGCTCCTGCAACTATGTCGTTTAATAGATGTCTCGGGCGGCTAACATCTTGATGAGCACTATGGCAAGGCCTATCTCCCGAAACCTCTTGGGCATCATCATCCGGAGCAACTAACAATTGGTGGTAGACCGTATAGCCTTGAGGAGGTACGTTAGGTATGGGTTCATTGGGGGGAGGTCCTGCAGGAGGAACATTGGTGGCGGAGGAACGGCGTCTCTGAGGGGGATAGGATAAGCCGTATGACGATGGAGGTGAACTCGCAGGAGCTATTGAGGTTCCTTGCCAAGGTCGAGTACGATAGATAGCAGATAGTGGCCCAGTATTACTACTGTTACCCAGTTCCATGGCGTTATTTCATTGAGAACTACCAGACGAGTGATATCAAAATCTTACTCTCTTGCCGAAAATAACTATTGTATATATTACTAATCATAACAGCCCGTTCGGGAAGAAAATTTAAATCTACACTTCCTCTATCACCTGAGTCACACCGCTTATCTAACATATTAGTAAGAACACTGTAGATGATACTCGTTACTACTTAGAAAGCTTTACCTCTGCTGCAGTACTTCAGCAATCACTTCAGGACCCAGCAGTGTCTTCGCCACACAGGCCCTTTTGTCATCCGACCTGTTCCACTCGTTTTTTCAAAGCGGTGGTTAAATTATACATCGTATACTAATCTACATGACAAATTCAGCCCCGTTATCTCGGGACTGTTATGTTTGCTGTATACTGATGGATAAGGTTTATTCTTAAGGTTTTGGAGCTCGGCACAATGCGGCAAAGCATCACATATGCAGTTATTCGGCAAAATGTGTACAGGCAAGTTTCAACATTAGTTTATCCATCAGAAATGCATTCCAGATGTTAACCCAGCATTTTTGTCGTCGCAAACGGTTCAAAAATTTTTTTTGTCCATTTGAGAGAGCTGTTAGATCATAAGATTAGTTAGAGTCCGTCAAGTGATCACATACAGACATTGAACTCACTGGCCATATTTCTTTGAGATGTTGGCCGCATTTTGTTCATGGTTTTCTTGAGCAGCACAGATATCATGGGTGAGTGATTCAAACCGCTGCCTCTGTTTGGTTTTCTGGGCCACAGTCAGTTTTGGCCGGATACACTTTGGCTATGTGAGAGTCATTTCTATAACACTGCAAGTTTTTCTAGACAAGTCAGCCTTAAGTATGGAGCTAGGATTTATGTACCAGAAATCTGGCTGCTTGGTATGTCAGAATATTCTATGTACCTAGATACATAATATGGAGCATGTAGTAATACAAGTACAGTTTCTACAACAAAAATTAGTCATGAAACACTGAGTCACTGAGTGGAACAATGGAACAGGTGACTTACACATATCTGAGCTTGATATAGTAGTAGATCCATCTGGTTCCCATTAACCATTCTTGGCAAAGTCTAACTCAGTTGTGGTTGTAGAGCAATGTAAGGTGATCTCAGCTGATTGGGGGGTAGCGGGAATAGCAGTGACCACTCCACTGACTATGACATCCGAGGTAGCAATGCCAGGGTTGGGTTTTGCCAGGTCTAAGGTAGCTGGCAGATTGCTAGGCAGAGATTCAGGATGACCTGTTCAAGTATGTATTAGCGATTTGAAAGAAAGGCCCTGGATAAGACAGCACTCACTGTAACAACCAAGAGTTAGTTACTCTGGCGCACACAGAACACACTATAAGGAAGATAATGAGGGAGTGGTTACCCCTAGAGCTGCAGAGAGTTTGTTGGTTAACAACAGGAGGACTCGCTGAGGAGTCTCCTGGATCTAGTGGGGTATATATACTACTACAGGGTTGTTTGTACATGTGTACTATACAGTTGATAGAGACAGTGGCTGATGATGTCACGGGGCCTAGCCCGCATGGCCAGCTCCACTGTGTGAGAAAGTTGTGTCTAAAATAAGAAGAAAGGCAACGCGGCACGAGAAAGAGGAGTTTAAAAAGGGGAAGTGCCGCGTGGCATCATGTGTGAAGGCTAAAGTACAAGGTTAAAGTGGAGAATAAAAATAAAGGGAAGGTCCGAAAATTGTGTTATCGTAACACTCACCGTTTAAGTTATGGTACAGATCAACTGAATTGAACAAATGGGCAAACCAGTGCTGCCACAATGATGGTAACAAGTAGTTTTGAAATGCATCTTGCAGGGCATGAACCATATCAAGGTGAGTTGCATTATTGATAACGGGATGCAAAGTTGCAGCAAAAGTTGTAACTGATGGCAAAGTATAATAAACCTAAGTGAAACTACAATAGATGTTAGTTTAAGGTGCCACTGCCCGAGAGGCTATAGAAACGACTATATTATTTACCTAAGTGAAACTACAATAGATGTTAATTTAAGGTGATCTCTAATAAATGCAATGTAACATATCTCAGCCGCTGCCCGAGAGGCTATAGAAACGACTGAGGTATTCCTATACTAAACCCCCTACTACTTATAGTTGGAGGTGCTACTCGCTACAGTATAATGACTCCTAGGAGTACAATTGTGCTCCTAGGAGAACAATGGTTACTCCATGGAATGGTGGCTATGCTCCATGGAGAACAATGGCTGCTTCGGCAGAGACCGGGTTTATCCGGTTTTGTCAAAGTACACTGTATTCCATGAGATCCATCAAAATCAAAGTTAGCCTAGAGTAAGACAGAAAACGAGTCATGCTGTTTGATAAAAGTGAGATTCACAAACAATCTAGTATAATGATGATTATAATAATGTACCGTTGGCTCTGGACGGTCTTGCACAGCCAAATCAAGCCATGAGAGGCAATCAACTGGGGTTGGGAGATTATTACACGGCATAAGCTGAGTACTAGCAAAATAGACTTATTCACAGGAGTGAGGTTAACTGTCGTAATTGAGAACTGACACAAATTGTGCTGCGACAGTGTGTTGTTATAATGACTCAGGTTTGCCTCATGTTCAATGTACTGCAAGTCTGATGTTCTAACACTCTGGGTGAGCTCTATTGTCCTATATAATGTGTCAAGCAAACTTGAATCAACATATATTCCAACACTACTTTAATAAATTATGATATGCCCCGAATGTAGTCTTCCAGTCTGACAGCCTCATTGTTTAACTCATCTTTGATAAGTGTTAAGTCCAAATCATCATTCTCATTATGATTGCTCCCCGCTGACATATCACCCAGCATGCTATAAATTTGTCTGGTATATCCTTCAAGCTTGTAAATGCAACGTAGCCGGTTACAATGGACATTGTTGATCCTATGTTGTTTGGCGTATAACAAGTAAAGCTTGGCAGCAAGGAGAGGGCTGTTGACTTTTGTCGCATTGTAGGACTCAAATAATGTCCTGTCCTCATTATCTATCCACACATGTAGCCTTTGTACCTCAACATTGAGTTGTAGAACTTCTTCCTTTGCACATTGAATCTTGAAGAACTTTATGGCTACTTGCCGTTTTGCTGAGACTGTCCAAGGCTTGGCGAGAATATTGTGCCTCAAATATTTCAATAGCATGAACTCACCAAGCGTAGCATAGCTAACTATTTCTGAATACTCCAGGATAGGCCGTGGAGGATTTTGCTTTGGTGCCATCCAATTATATTTTTGAAGTGCAGTTCGAATAGCTCCTGAACGCTTTGCCAGGGCCCTAGAGATTTGTTTCCGCATTTTATACCCTATGAATAGCCAATTAGGAGTGTATCAGTTACTTAAACATAAAACACACCAGTTCCAGATAAATTAGCTTTCGACAACTCCAAAAGACGCTGTATAACCAATCCCTTTAACTCTTCAACCACCAAAATAAAATGTTGGTGCCCAATAAACTCCTTTGCTTTAATAAATTCACTATGTAATTCATCCCAACGGGTTGTCATTTTAGCCTGGTGCTCCAATTCTTCGACACATTTTTTCTGCCGAGTAAGGCGTTGATATAAGGACTTTGCTTCATCTTCGGCTGCTTAAGAACCGAGCTGTGCAGGCTGGGACAAACCAAAATCTGAGCCAAAATGTGAAGGCGTGTAAGTCAAAAAACTGGATGAGGTAATTTTGTTGGTTTTGGCCCTAAAAGTATTGATGTCAGATCATTGAGACAACAAATAAAAAAGACTTTGTACTCAAGCTGTTGTAGCTTGTCAAGCTCATCAACGTAAGTTACCGTCATCACATCATACTCAAATCCTGTTGAGAGATTCCCAATCAAGGCAAGTTCTTCCAAATTCCACCGTACAAAGTCCGTATTGCTAATATTATGCAAGGTTTGGAATTTTTCTACCACCGGGCTGTAATCATGGATAATAGAGATTGCCTGCCTGTAGTTATTTAAAAGGAAGCGGCCTTCGTAGATCAATAAAACTTCAGAGAGCAAAAGCGATAACATACTTAGCTCAAGATATTTATCAACATTCTACTGATCAAAGTGAAGGTCCAAGAATTGTGCCCAGTGGAATTACAAGGCATGTTGGATTATTGGAGCCAGTGTATTTGATGATGCAAAGACTCTTTCACATGTCTCCATATCTTCCAAACCAAAACCTTTCAGATAAAGTGGATGATTGAGGAGCTGACATTGTCGGTTATGCGCATAGCCATGAAATGCATTGACCGTAATTGTAAGACCAAGCCTTTTTGCCTTTTCACCAATAGAACTTGATGCCACAGTCTTTCTTAATGTACATCCAAAGTTGTGGCCAATGCCTTGGCCATCTCCGCAAACATCCAAAAGCCTATTTATAGTCGCAAGTGCATACTTTGACCTAACAAAGAGATTTTTAGCACAACAAATTATACCACTCTATGGGGATCCACTCACAATTCTCTGCTGTGCTTCATCTCAGCTACACTTTTGACAAATCCATGTCGACATGCCATCAAGAATATACCAGTTTGATCAAATACTTGAATCTTGTCTTCTTCAACCATGTTGGCAGCCAGCCAGTTTCCGGTACAGTTATTATCCTCTGACCTTGCTTGTGCATTTGACCTCGGCTGTTGAGAGACATCATCTTTGAACGTATCAACTTTGGTAGGCGGTATGAAAAGACGACTGTAAAAATGACAAGAGTCGGTATGGCCGGATCTGTCTATTTGCCGAGTAAACAGATTCCCATCAATTGTGTGGATACATTTTGGCATCAGGACAGGTTCATTTGGTTACTACACAACATATGAAATTAGCGTTGACAATGGACCACTCATCTAAGTAAAACATATCTGAAATGAACATGATGGACAGCTGTGAGCTATTAGCCGATTAGCATCATCCCTGTGAATGATGTTGTTGATTGAAGCACAGATTTTTTGCTTGATATTTAGATATATATCAAGAGCTACTGACAGCTGTCCCCGAAAGACTGGCACATATGTTACCTAATAGAATGATGTCAGGCTATACGTGACTATGACTATGACTGAAATGATTTATCACATTATGCTCAGATATGTGTAAGTCACCTGTTCCATTGTTCCACTCAGTGACTCAGTGTTTCATGACTAATTTTTGTTGTAGAAACTGTACTTGTATTACTACATGCTCCATATTATGTATCTAGGTACATAGAATATTCTGACATACCAAGCAGCCAGATTTCTGGTACATAAATCCTAGCTCCATACTTAAGGCTGACTTGTCTAGAAAAACTTGCAGTGTTATAGAAATGACTCTCACATAGCCAAAGTGTATCCGGCCAAAACTGACTGTGGCCCAGAAAACCAAACAGAGGCAGCGGTTTGAATCACTCACCCATGATATCTGTGCTGCTCAAGAAAACCATGAACAAAATGCGGCCAACATCTCAAAGAAATATGGCCAGTGAGTTCAATGTCTGTATGTGATCACTTGACGGACTCTAACTAATCTTATGATCTAACAGCTCTCTCAAATGGACAAAAAAAATTTTTGAACCGTTTGCGACGACAAAAATGCTGGGTTAACATCTGGAATGCATTTCTGATGTTACGATAACACAATTTCCGGACATCTCCTTTCCTTTTTATTCTCCGCTTTAACTTTATACTTTAAGTGCCACGCGGCATTTCCCTTTCTCGTGCCGCGTTGCCTTTCTTTTACTTTTAGACTTAACTCTCTCACACAGTGGAGCTGGCCATACGGGCTAGGCCCTATGACATCATCAGCCACTGCCTTCATCAACTGTATAGTACACATGTACAAACAACCTGTAGTAGTATATATACCCCAATAGATCCAGGAGACTCCTCAGCGAGTCCTCCTGTTGTATACCAACAAACTCTCTGCAGCTTAAGGGGTAACCACTCCCTCTACATCTTCCTTATAGTGTGTTCTTGTGTGCGCCAGAGTAACTAACTCTTGGTTGTTACAATGTAAGGCCATAGCAACAAGCACTAGCAAAGATCCCTATCTCTTCAAAGAGGGCCCACATTTTTTTCTTGTTGTCTGAGGAGGTTGCAGCCTTCCAGTCCTCTGTACACAGATTTTTTCCAGCCTGGGTGATTTTGGAAGTCTCATCATCATTTCCATCCTTATGCAGTTTCTCTACTTCCAATTCTGGGGGCTGTCTCAAAACTTTGCTTGCATAAAGGTCTACATAATCCCGAGGAAAAAAGTGGTCACTCTCATGAAATCTCTATTTGTTGCCAGCTTTCCTTTTGCTGGGTAACAAGGCATGCTTGAGGGAGTTGTTGCAGTCAATAACTATCATTCAATGCCATGGAAGGTTGGGTTTGCCATTGAGCTGTAAGCTTGGTGAGTAAACATATACTGCATGGATTACTTTACCTCATAGCCACATGGAGGACAGCCATGTAAAAACCTCTAATGGGGGGGTCTCACGGTCAATTGTTGACCAAACCCACTTGTTAAAAATTTGCAATATGCAGAGGCAGATGTCAAATGTGTTACCAAGCATTGTTCTATAGAATCGTCAGAGTGACACCTTAGTTTGTAAATAGTCTGATGTGTAATATAATATAGCAAATTTGAACTTACATTATACAGGTCACATATGATCTTTGGAAAAGCTTCAACACTGAATGATGGCTTCCACAAGCGTATACAACGAAAGAATTCCAGGGTCTTGAAGGAGAAGGCAAATGTTGGTGATATCAGCATTGCTGGGAGAAATCCTGCCAAGGCAAGAGACTCAGATATGGACATGCTATCTTGCCATTGGCAGGGAACTATTTCCCACTCCATTATGTTGCTATTTGACATATGATGTCGCAATGTCCTCTAAATGCAGGGCCCAGTATTCATGAAGCTGTATAATTTGTTGATTCCAGGTACAATAGTCTGTGTAGCAACATAATGTCCAGCTGTAAAAATTATTAGTGACTATCAGTGCAGGGAGAAAGGCTTATTAAGGATCTTTGAAGAAGATTGTGCACAGCATGGATGAGCGCTGCATCATCTTTTATGTGTTCAGGTATTGTTGCCTATTCTACATTGCTGTCTTTTTCAATCAGATAGCTAGGGCCATTATCCATCACTGAATTGTTACTGTGTTGAGAGTCCGTCCAGATGTCCGCCAGAGCCTGTAAAGACTCTTTACTGAGACCTTTGGATCCCTAATGTGAGTGATCAATGTGGTAGATAATACTATGTACCAGTTGCATGGAGCTCATACCTCTCCATTGCTCTCTCCCTCTCTTTCTCTCTCTCTCTCTCTCTCTCTCTCTCTCTTTAATTTAACACTCTGGATACAGTGGGAGCAACATGAGACAAGTGTCTGAGGATTGAGGTGGTGTTGGAAAAAGAGACGGTGGAGTGTCTCACAGATTGAGATAGCCTTGACCATGTTGATGGCATGATAATACTGTAAAAAGAGAGTAAGGGCTGGATAATCAGGAGATTACATAACATACCTGAAAAGACTGCAATTAAAGAGACTAATTTGAGTTGAATAGAGAGGAAATGTATGGACATTGTTACTGTCAACAACAGCAAGTAGTAGTGGGACACACAAAGACGCTGAGCTGCTTCTTTGCATGTAGCTACCGTGGGATGTTGCAGGGGGTTATGTAAAGAAACCAAGGTGCCCTGCCGCATGTGGATATTTATTCTGGATCCTTTGGACGCTAAACTGCACTGTCCCAAAAGTGCCAAAAGTGCCACACATACTGGCAGTATTGTTTAGCAATTAATTTTGATTTATTGGTAGTTTATTCACAGAAATACTGACAGTAGGTGACTATCACAGCTTTTAAGCTTCATAGCTTGGTGTACTGCACTAGTATGGCAACTTTACAAGCTATAAATAATGTGATGTCAAGGTGGGTCAATGTTAATATAATGCCTACTGTACTACCTTGAGCTCTAAAATCATCCTGGAGGCTGTTTTGTATCAAGGTCTTTGTGTAAGCCCATAGCACCACAATAAATTCCATCAAATGTTTGAAGAAAGAGACAGTAGTCATGCGCTAGGTTACAAAAGTTAATACATAGCATAAATACATACAGCATAAATATTAATAGCTATAGTTTCATGTCTGTGGGGGTGTTGTAATGATACAACGCATACATGATCATAATAAGAGCAATACCTCCCAATATATAAAACTGGAGTCCTTGAAAATTTTCCTTGACATTGGCATAGATATAAAATTTCTGTTGAGTCAAGCCATTAGAGAATGGTTTATAAATAGGTTTGGCAGGTGGGGTCCAGAAGTAGCATCCCCATGATAGGGTGCTACTTTGGACTAAGCACACTGATTAGGTTTTGGAGCTGGTTGGCCAACCACCTTTATCCACTGTGCTGGATGGCAGGGAAGCATGCCCATTCTCTGAATTATGATAAGAAGTGGTAATAATGGTTTAGAAAGCCCGTAAGGACAAAAACTAGAAGAATAGTGAATGACACCTTTAACCCTAGGGCCAAAAGTGTGATAGGGAACATGTCTGAAAGCCAGGACATGATGAATGAATTGAGGAAAATGAAATGGTCCTGACAGTAATACTGCGCTGTTGACAATATCCAAGTTGCTTATATGTCTGAAGGTTAGGTTTGCCTTTTTCAAAGAATGGCACCCTAGCACGCATTAGAGAACACTGTGCTGCTCTCAAGGCATTGTTAAGTTGAGAGATCATTTTGTATGGACTTATAGGTAAAGAATGTGTGTTTTGGTACATGTTCCAAATAGAAATTTGCTACTTAAAACTAGAAATGATGAGCTCAAGCTGATTGAGTATGAAGGTGTTGAAAATGAGGTGATGAAGATCTGAATAGACCACACTTTACTACGCGATTTCAACTAGATTTCCAACGTGGTAATACTGTATGTAATATTATGGTGTTTACAGCATGAGCGATGGTAGATGCAGAGCCATGGGTGGAGTTCGGGAATAAAACATAATCACTCGATAAAATCATCTATTGTTGAACTAACTAAAACCAGCTGCTAATTATTATCAACCGAGAAAAGGTGTGCAATGATCTAGATTGTGGGTAGTGCCAGTTTTCATCAGCTCAGTGTCACAGTGCATGTCACAGCCAGAAACATTGCAACGAATAGCCAGCCATAAAACGTTAAGCCCAGAGAATCGGATCAACCACTACTGCGACTGTGCTTTCGGACACTACTCGACACCACCAATACCAATGAATGTTCTAGCCAAAAGAACCAAGTAGAGTCTAAGCTAATAAGTGTATTCAGGATAGTAACCTGTAGAACGACAAATCCACTTACAATTTCAACTGGCTACGCTGTGACCAGGACAAAGTCGTAAGATCTTAAAGGTATTCGCAGTCCTCTCACATAAATAGATGATATCTCCCTCTCGCCCCAGAAAAAGGACTTCGTTTTGGCCGACGGCTTCGTGAACTCCGTTGATGCTAGCACCTGTCCCTCTAGCGGTCTTTACTGCTCGTTTGCGGCCAGGGTACGAACTTGTCGCTTTGGATGGCACCACCGCAGCAGGTGGGAAAGACGAGGCTATGGGCGTGCCTATCTTCCAAACGAATGGTTCCCGCCTATTTATGTTGGAAGGTGAAGGGGTGAAGTGGGGGAGAACGGTTCGCGACTGATCAGCTGGCTTTAACAACGCATCGCCGAAATCCATGGCCTCCAGCCCACCTTGGCGCATTGCTACGATCACAGAACGATCTTCGACGTCAAATGCCTCTAGGTGTTTGATGTCGCCCATGGATGACTCCGATGCTTTTTGGCCGCTGTCCTCGCTCCATAGAAATCGGCCTTGGAGCACCGAGCGACCACGGGCGTCAACAATCGTCGTGCTATGCCCACCACGCGAAGAATAAAAAAGAGCTGGTGGGCCGAAATGTCGGGGTTGAGCGAGTAAAGAAACTGGTGAAAGTAGTGGTTTCGATACATCCAGAGATGATGATTGGGGTTCTGACCCGCTATGTGCCACCAAACGAAAAGGATGACTCGGATCAATACTTTGCTGCCTTAGATCCTTTAACAATATGAACTGCGTATCTTGTTCTTTGCGTACAGGTAAATCTGGGGGAAGTAAGCCATCATTATACCAAGCTTGCATGAGACTGGCCTTCCAGGGTCCTGTATGTATGAATGGATGATATTAATAAGGCGTATCAATACTTAATAAAGACTAACCATGAGTAGCTCCTTTTGGGTCGCGGTAGAGCCACTTCGACGGGGGTGTTGGGACGGGCTTCGGCAGTCCCGGAGGTGAAAATTGAGTTTGGGATAGATCGGCGTCACTATTTCCAGGTTCATATTCAGAACGGTATTCCAGAAACTGGGGATAAGTGGGTGGAATGATATAATCATTGGCGATTGTTGCCAGAGGGAACTTGGGAGCAAAAGAAAGCTGCTGAAATGTGGTATAAGGTCCCATGTGTGTCGTAGTCATGGCTACAAGCTCTTCTGCATGAGCCAAAGCCGTATCATGGTTCATTTCGGTGGATGTCCGAGGGATATCTTGCAACTGAGAATTTGAAGTAGTCCTTGTAATCCGGCTTTCATTTCCAGCCAAAGATACTCCAATATTGATACTGATATTTGCATCTTCATCATCTGGAGCCAAAAGATCGCCCTCAAATATATCAGTTTGACCCGACCGTATCTCTCTGACTCTGCGTCGAGCTGCCCTTCGTTCTGCTCGTCCAATTCGAACTTCTCGTACTCTTACTGTGGCAGGTTCTAAGCCAAAAACATTCTGGGAGAACACCAGAAAGACCTCTACTAGATCATCGCCTTGTAGCTGTAATTCCAATGATCGTGGGGAGTCAGGCAAAATGAACGTCCTCGAAAGACCCAAGGCAGAACGATAGGTACCAGCAAACAACTCAACCTTCTCACCATTCTCCCCGCACAGAATAGCTAGAAAACTTAATGAGACAAAGATGAGTAAACATGGTCCATATATGGTATTCATAGGGTTATACCTCTTCTTCGGAGTCTCCACAGCTTTGACGATAAGGGACCCCTTGGTTCCCGGGAGCTTCACATACTCTAACCTCGGCGGGGGCACGTGAGAAGCCGTTGAGAGATGTATATTGCCTTTTTCTTTGCCTACATCTGCCACAAGAGGCATGGGGAGCGGCACATCAGCTCGTCGATTATGGTGCGTGTTGTTGAGATTACGCTGCAGAAAGCGCAACGGCATCTGAGACGTTAGCTGCGATGAAACGACAGGCGTAACATCGTTTGAAGTAGCGGTGTGATTTTGAGTGGCTTCAGGCCGGACATGAAGCGATGTATACAAAGAACCTCGAGACGAAAAAGATACTTCTGGAGGAAATGTTGTATTGCTGCCTTTTTATATACGGTGTGAATACCGGTAAAAGAAAACAGAGCACGTTGTGTGTTACCTTCATAAGAAAATGGGGGAGATAACAACATTCCGCTCGCATTGGAGAAGAGCCCTTCCAGCACAGACCATCGGCGGCGTCTTACCTCTATTTGACCCACACGACCGTGCGGCGAAGGCGCATCTGAAAGACGAAGGTCTGACGAAACCCTACCAACTGCGGCCAGTCCCGAGCGTGGCACTTGGGCTAGGGACGATTGTGGCAGGTGCTGCGTGACTGGAGGGGGTAGGTGAGGAAGCCTACTCTCCATTAAAGCCTGCGCCAACGTAATTCGTTCTCCAGTAGATGAAGCCCCGTCTTCGTCGTCTTCTTCATCAATATCTGGATGATGGGCATCGGGTTCTCCCATTATATTGTTAGCTGTATATGTTGGTGCGGAACGGAAAGCTAACGAAGTATCTTGTAGTGCTTGTCGAAGGGTCGACAAACTAGGAGAGGGTAACGGTTCAGGTGGTACTATGGAGGCGTTATCTGGACGAACTAAACTGGGATCAGTAGGCCGAACTCTGTGGACACTCTGCGCGGACTGATTTCCCGTCAGGAAATGCGATGTAGACATACTATCGCCGATGTGGGGGGACGTTGATGCGCTAGTTCGCTCATCTAAGGCTCGACTCCCGCTGGCGCCGGCTGTGAGCATATCAATAGCCTCATCTTCACTTGAACCTTCAAGCCATTGTGATACTTTTGAATCCATATGCTCAACGCCCCGATGGCGGTCCATGGGTGGAGGAATAAAAGGGAGATCGTGAGGCCGGTGAATGGGTGTCCTGTCGGGAGGGCTGATATAGGCAGGTGGACTATCTACAAACTGGGCACCAGTGAAAACATTGGGATGTATTGCGGGGGACTTGGGGTTTGGTGTCGCAGCTGCTGAGCGGTCGACGTTGGCAGCTCGTGTGATGGTTGCTGTGTTCCCTTTCGCCGCAGAACCTCGCTGTTCAAAGCCTATACCACCCCAAACGACCCTTTTAGAACTTTCCCTTTTAATTCTATCTCTTTCTCTACGAATCTCCATATCAATTCGCCACTCCACTGCTCTTTTGATTTCATCAAGGGCATAAACTCGCACTCCGTCCCTCCTGCCAGCAATCGCCACGAGGACACCGCGTTGTTCCATGACGACAACATTCTTGAAATTCACTCTTCGGATTAAAGCGTATGGTTGAAGAGCTGGTGGAGACTTGAGGGGAAAGACGTCGAGACCCTGTGAATGACAAAGTAATAAATAATGCGGAGCCAAAAATGCTCCGCTTGCTGGTGGAGCACTGAAATGGGGTGGTGATAGGTCGGGTGTGAGCACAGATAACGAAAGACCAAGTTCTTGGAGGGTTGGTGGAGGTAGTGAGGGAGGAGGACTATTTGCCCTGGGAGGAACGGTGAAGGATTTCGCAAGGTTGGCGTTGGATAAGTCGTCTGGTCCGGCTGATGACTCAACTGCGGGACCACCGTTATGCAAAGGTGCTGAATTCGTGGCATTGCGCCGATGCAGAAGATTAGATAAAAAACCAGAAAGACGATTCAGATGGCGAAGCTAAACACCAGGCAATCAGAACACACATGCTGGCTAACGGAAAGATATATCGAGGTGCTACCTACTTCTGTTCCAACACGAGGTGCACCGATTCTTGCTGCTGATCTCACTGTTTCCGACCTGATAGACCTAGAAGACATCAGCGGAGATATGCGAGGTGTGAGGGATGGAGAATGGCCTGTGGAAGGACGGATGGAAGGAGGCAGCACATCTGCTACAGAAACTATTGGTAAACTCCGAATGCTGTTGTTGTCTAATAGCCGCTCTTCAGGAATGAGCAACGTATTTCCAGGGGATAACTCGTCGTTTTGGAGCATTCTGTCGGCGTCATTCCAGTGTTGGACAGAGGCGGATATGTATGGCATGTTGTGAAAGACAACACGTTTTATGTCCGTGGCGCAGCGCCACAGGCTACACACACTCAGGCTTTACTAAGTTTAACAACTCTCTGGCCCGGAGGCTTTAACAAAACTTAGCTCACTTAGGAGGCCGCTTTAGCTCGTATGGTTACCTGGACCGGGGGCTTTGGCAAAGACCAGGACTCGGCTAACATCATTGTGCTGTTAACCTCAGACGGCAGAGACTGAAACCAAAAATTCAACCAGTAGAGTGTTCTACTGTAGAGCGAGTTAAAACTTATTCAGAGGGCGAGTAGACGGGGGTAGAATGTAACGAACGTGACAACAGTCACCAGCGGACCTTTTACTAAAGCAGCCGTTTCAAAACGCGCTCGTTTTGAATGAGCTGAGAGGCGAGGCAAACGAAATTTCTCACGCTATGTCACACCATGTCACGCGCGTTTCGGTATTGTAGATTATCAGTAGATAGTGGTTTTCCTGTACGGTGGATTGTTAGTTACAGTTCGACTTTTCGATGAAGCCGCAGCCCGGCAGGGTTTTTTTTAACTCCCACTCAATTGTTTGTAAGAGCAAACACACTGTGCATAGCATAAAGCACTAATATACAAATAGATAAATATTTTGTGACACCTGAAGCAGAGATTGGTCTCATGAGCGATGAGGCCTACCAAAAAACATACAAAAAACATACAGGCCAATGTTAGCTAACAACCTCTTTTCTACCTACGAGTGCTCGCAATATCATCGACATCAGTCTGCCCCTGGGGAGGTACAAAAATTTTCAGTGAGCTAGACTGGGAGGAATTGGACCGGTCTTGCGTAGTGAGCACGGGATCGAGAGCAAAGTAGGCACAGAACACATTACAGCAGTGAGGTTGAGGAAAGTTATATAATGTATCAGTCCAGTTACCCTCCCCAAAACAAGCAGCATATTTTCTATGATGGATTTCAGGAGGAGGGAGTTCAGATGGATCCTTATTGCGCACAGGACAGCTGGCAATAAACTGGTAGACTATTTTCATGAGATTGGTACCCCAGTACATGCAATTAGCCTCGATGAGCATCTTGGCCAGCTCGTCTTTAAAGGTCACTTCCTGCAAGAAGTCAGCTCACCAGAGTCAGCATTATTGCGCCAAAGCCTATAGTACCATTGTTTTGCCATGGTATCTCCACCGTGCAGAAATATAATATTTTAAAGGGGGACAGAAGGGCTAGGAAGGAGGTTGTCTATGAAAACAGGATGGCACGTCTTGAAGCTTCTGGGGGGACCTAGCATTGATTTGCTACTGTAGTTGACAGCCAGAGTAGCCCGTGGTTGGCTAGCCCTGCTTTGGACATTGAATGGCAAAGGGCTCTTGAGGAGCTGATTGAAAGTTCCTGTAGGTATGGGGAATAATACATAGGTCCCAAAATTGATGTTTGCTGAGGGGAGTTATGAGGGAAACCCGAAGTTAAATGAATACAGGACTCACAGAGCGGTTTTGCCTGATGACGAACTTTGGACTGTGCACCCATAACTGGCTCAAGTTCCTCCTTGTCACGTGCCTGGAATTCCTCATCTTTCTTGTCTTTGTCCAACTCATCTTCCTCCATCTTGTTATCTTCAAGGTCAAAATTGTTAGCCCCAGGCTCTGCTACACCCTCAGGTACTTTGTTTACTAGGTTAGGCAACTGGTGACGAGAAGATATTGTTGAGTGGCCTGCGTTTGACGAAGTGATTGTCTGATACTACAAGGATGTATGGGCACAATGGAAACACATGGGAGGTATGTACATACCTTTGTATGTTTCAAAGATGACGAGGTACTGACAATAAGCTGTTCTGGCGTACAAGATTTCCGAATTCCCTTCTTGGGTTGAGTCGCGGCACAAAAGACCTATATGCTATGAGTTAGTGTGATGCTAACTGTCAATAACTATGAAATAACCTTTTCTGCGACACTAATGTCTGACCCATCCCCATCTGACATTGTTGCATCATCATCACCTGTGTTCTTCAATCTCTCCTTCCAGATCAAGATGTTTTTGTACTGCATGTACGTAATGACAAGCAAAATAGTAACTTGACAATTTGAAGCAAATTTAGGAATTGGGTCCTTGTCACCAGCTTGATAGAATACCTCGTGTAGTATGAGATGGTTCGAATTTAGTTGAGGTTGGCAAGGACTATAGAGTAAAAACTTGGGCAACCTATACATCTCCAGCAACTCTAAGGCGAGGTTGTAGTTACTGGTCCAGTCAATCCACTCCATCCATAGGTTTTCAATGGCAGTGCGTTGAACTTCTGAGCACGTCAATGCCACTGGAAGTGTAAGATCACGTGCAAGGTTCTAAAATATGTGTGAAAAATAAGTAAGCATCAAGGACATAATAATAAAGTGTGCTTACCCCGACTAAAACTGTGCCAGACTTCCCCTCCTCTTTCAACCGATGAATAGCAACACGCAGAGTAACATGGTGTTGACGCTCAGTGGTTGCAGCTATTATCTTTCTGCGGTGATGTGCATGACAAATGTGGTTAGCAGTATAACCAACCAAGCCGGTGTTGTTGATAGTGGGTGGTGCCTGCGAGAGGACTGCGGGAACATAAGACCTTGAGTTCAATCTGGGATGAATGGTAGCCTGCAAAGGTGGCCTTGAGCTCAATCCAGGATGAATGGGAGCCTGTGGAGGCCTTGAAGGTGAAGTGAAACTGCACTGATATGCTGCTTGGGGAAAACTTTATCTAAGGGAAACGTGTGAGAACGGTGTATGGTGTTAATGTAGCACAATTACTAACCTCCACATTATGCAGCAGATGATGCTTTCACTAAGCCTCGCCTGGTATTGACGTCAACAACATGTGGCTCGGGAACGGCGGTGAAATCTGATCCATCAATCAATCGATGAATCAAATGGCAACATCTAGCAACAAGAACATACCAAATGGAAGTCAATTAGTGTCCTTGACTTGATGCCTATGGTCATAATGTGTGGTACCATCCCAGGCCTTTACATACATGAACAGCACATTAATGTCAAAGTACGTCAGACAATGGTTACACTGCTGGGTGCCCTCGCAATTGAAAACTGGTGTAAAGTCAACCATGGTATGAATAAGTGACAACCTGAAGACTCGGATACACTGGCCTGTCTGCCATTGTGCAGGATCTTATATACACAAGCCTCCCTGCATATCTCATACGCAGTGTGAGTAACAACAATAGCAAATTTCTTGAAGTGATCTCAAGCATGAGGGAACAGCTTGTGGGATTCACCTGCATCCGGACATGAGGGAAAAATGTGTTGGTAAGCAAATCCCATGTGTTGCATACTCTTTCCTTTACAATAAACAACTCATCCTTGCATTGACTCAACAGGAAATCAAACATCCTAAATAATACACTTTTAAGAACAACATAATGACTCTCAATGTAATCAGTTTCATAGATAGCAAAGGCGGAAACTCGGAGGAGATAAGGGAATCACAGAGAAATTGTGGGGGCAGTGAGGCTCAGTCGTTTACTTTAGCTGGCACAGGTTCTCTTTTGTTATGTTTCCTCATCGTCTAGATTTTTCACCACCGTGACACCCATGCCCAATTGTACAGGTTGAAATGGGACTGATACACAACCTCGTAAATTTCTGTTTCATTGACAGCAATAAACAACTGACCTTTGTATTGACAATAGCCCCAGACAACGTGATACAGCCTTGGATGAAAAGTATGTTGCTGCTGGTTACTTGAACCCAGAAATTCTTGTGCGTTTGAAGGACCACTACAACACAACACAATATATACTCTTGTGAGTGTTGGAATATTTATTATTTATTAACAATACATTAAACTCATCTTGAAATCACACAGTTTTTCCCTCCTTAAGAAAAAGTGTATGCAATGGGGTCTCAAGAGCACTCATGGTCAAGCACACACCATGGAGAGTATTGGGCCCTCCATCAAATGTTTGCATCTGCAATACCCACAACAGGGTTCACATGACATGAAGGCCGTGCTACGTGATGAAGAGGGTGTGATGACGCCCCGGTACGTCCTTGATTGGCAGTACAAAACAAGTAACTGACGAGCCTTTGTAACAAATAGCAAGTTAATTTTGCGGTACATGAATGAGCATTATCCAAACAAGGTCTTAGCACACAAATATTGTCAGTTGAAGTGCAGCTATTTTTGGACGGCTGGTGTTAACGACCTCTGGAACTTTGACCAACACAACAAATGGAGGTGTTTCCAGCTGTTCCTTCACATCGGGTTAGAGCCGTTTTCTGGCCACATTCTATGGCTCAAGATTTGGTGGACTAATAGGAATCCACGTCTAATCTGCAGATGGTTCTGTGATACTATTGAGAAACTTGAAGGGATGCCACCCATTACCCAGAGTGACCCTGGTTCCGAGAACAATGGCATAGCAAATACCCAAACACTCCTATGACACTTACATGACCCTGCTCTTGACAAAACCTTACAATATGCTTTTAAAGGTTCCCATTGCAATATTAAGCCCAAGATATTCTGGAGCTAGCTTCAAAAATGGTGGGCTCCTGGTTTTGAAGCACTGTTAGATGAAGGACTTGATAATGGGCTATATAATCCTGATGACACCTTGGAACGGTAAGCATTGTCACATCTCGTACAACCCCTTTGTTTCTGATGAATTCAAGCAGCCTTGTTTTCCATTTTGTTTTCATCCCTGTGTTACAGCTCGAGCTCGATCTATTTGTTCAGCAATCCAATTCAACTTGTCCTTGGCATAACAAGAACAAAGTATTACCTCACAGACGTCCTGACAACATCTTCCAACAGTCTGAACGTTGGAACTTCACAGATTTCTTGGTGAGTGCCCCTTTTATGGTCCTAACTGCACTTTACTAACTTTTATTTATTTGATACAGGTCAAAGTTCACATGCCGTACCTACAGCAAGTCTGGGAGAAGTATGCATGTCCAGGACACAAAGTCTATGACCTGGTACCCCCAGCTTTCAATGCACAGGCCTCAGCATTTTTTGCCGAGTCAAGATACCTAGCTGTTACTAACAACACTGCATAGGGGGTATATCATCAATTGCTGGGCCGTTTTTGTACTCATGACCAACAGATTCTGCAAGAAATCATCAGTTCTCAGCCCGCTTTATCTGAAGAAGGTTTTCTAGGATCCAACTTTATGCCAGTCGTTGACTTTCCACCTTATCAACCACAACCTTCTGAGGACGTACAAGGGAATATGGCACATGGGAGCTTTTCATCTGATGAGGAGACTGACAAAGAGTATATTTTGGGGTGGACTAACTCCAATGGGAGTGAGGGTAGCCGCAACTGAGCTCCTGTATTATCTCAATGACTGTATCTACATACAAATAGTGACCTTTCTTGATTTGGGACATGACATCTTTCAACTGCTGCCCCCTGCTTTCAAATGGCAAACAAATGTATTCCTGCATGAGGGTACTGGACTTTGCAATACTAGTCCGAAGTTTTGTAAACAAAGGTAAACAAATTAGCCACAAAGGCAAAATTATAGAATGCTCAGTGAATACTGAACAATAGAGCAAAAAGAATAAAGAGGAAAGTGATTTAGAAAGAAGGTAAAATAGATAGCACAACTAGGTGCAGAATCACCAAAACTAACAGTATTTCTATTCTTTAGCTACTCATACTGGACTCTAGGTACTGTACACATTCTGTACTCTCTGATAATATAGTTACTCATACTGGACTCTAGTTCTGTCCCTGTTAGCTCTCAGCAAGTGGCTAGACACTTCCCAGAAGTTCTCAATTGGACAGGTATACCCCCTACAACCACCTTGCTCAATTTGGTCCCCACACGTGAACCCCCAAATTAATGCCCTCGTCAGCTCACAGCCTGCACTTCCTCCTAATGGCTTAGCAAACTCAGAGTTCATGCTCGCTTGTGTCCGTGGTCAACTTCCCTGCGTATCAATCGCTGGCCAAGGATTCCGCAGAAGGAAATTTGGTCAGTAATCAGTATTCATCCAATGGATCTGAGACTGACCTTGTTCCAGATTGGACTGATTTGAGTAATGGGAGTGACTCAGCAGGATCTTTGTAATCTGTAAACAAACTGTAGATTCTATGTTGATATTATCTCCATGGGATGGTTTATAGCTCACCTCAGATTTGCTCTTACTCTGTAGGTATCTTGTTATTGTCCCAGTGTTTGAGACCATTAGCAGCAGAGGATAAATATTGATGAGTTGCAGGTGATGCCAAAAAACCTGGATGATTACATTTAGATGATTATGAATGGGGGAGTTGCAGTCAAAATACCGGTTTGAGTAGGTGTTGTTGCAAATAACCTTTGAAGTTGCAGATCTGAAGAGCCTATGGCCAGAAGAATCATGAGGGCAACAAATACAACATATAAGTGGAGTTTAGTGTGATGCAGGGCATAGATAGTGAAATAGGGAAGTTCAATGCTCCAGGACAACTTGCGTATTATTTCTTCAAACTTCTTCAGAGTAATTGGGTCCATGTTGAGCTCCCAGTCAAGATACTGGCACATCTCTCTTTTCATCTGGTTAATTTCACGTAATTGGAACATACCCTGAGCCAAAATGCCCCAGGACTTATTACTGTACATGTCGTTGCAGATGACTTTTGAAGCAATCATAAATGCGGAGACAACAAGTCTATGACCAGAGAAGCCTCAAGCTGTGGGAAAACAAGCCTTCAAGCGCTGCAAAAGAACAAGGGTGGAAAAAGTGACAGATGAGTGGAGTTTAGTGCGATGCAGGGCATAGGCAATGGAATAAGGGAGCTTGGTGGATGAGCCAAACATCGATGCAGGATTCCAGGTAATCTCTTAGTAGTTGAGTACAGTGGTCTCCCGATTAATGACAAGATTATTCCCACAACCTTAAATGGCTGATTCTCTCTGCTACTCCCATTGTTGTTCTTTATTAGGTGCTCATTAGGCTGGTGTACAGCTCAGCATCTATGACCCTCAAATTGTATAAAATGTATGTGTTACTTTCTTCATCTCCCTATCAAATCGACTCACCTGTTTCCTCCCCTTCTGCAATAACTGAGTTTCCTCCCCCCGGTTGTTCAAACAATAAACTGCCTGAATGTCCGGCAAGCGTTAATAATGTTGAGGCGGAGGACAAAGCTATAGGTATGATCCGCATGTGTTCTTCCTCTCCATCTCCATCCTGACTAATATCCCCTTCCACAGCCGTTTTGCTATCTCTCCTCACCACCATGACACTGAGCAGCAACAGCGCAATGGTGCTCATGTCCGCTGTCATTGACCACACCATTCCCCACCTTCCTGTTGTCAACACCCCCTCCATGGCTCCAGCACCAGCTTCTTCTCAGTCCGCCACTGCTATTGACACTGCCCTTGTTGCTTCCCCGCCTCTACAGCCATCAATGCCTCTTACCCCTCGGCTGGTGCAACCCACCCCACCACCTCTACATCTGCCACTTCTGGGGCTGCACTGGCCGCTGTGGTTGCCCCCAAAAATGTGACCACTCCCCCAGCTACCTGTACATACCTTGGGCAAGTCTTTGAGGTGCCAGAGACGGTTAGCAATGATCAGCAGTTATATTTGGTAATGCAAGGTAGCCGGATTGGCATATTTTCCGATTGGTAAGTCCTCTAATCCTTTTCTTTTGAAAAAAATAATCTAACATTATACATATGTAGGCAATCCACCTCCCCCCATATCATTGGGGTGAGCCGCAGGGTCTTTACATGTTGCCTCTCTTTAGAGGTTGGAATTACTGCTATGCAGGAGGCCATTGAGGCTGGAGCAGTGGAAATTTTGCCTTGAAGTGGGCTGTTTACATACCTTGTACAATAGCTGCATAGGGTGCACTCTCTGCCTTGGCGTCAACGTGCAAAAGTTGTAGCAATATACTCTTCACATCACAAACTTTGTGCATACTATGGGTTATCACAAGTCACACAAATGATTCTTTTACAGGTATTTAATGTTAATTTAGTATTTTTTACTTAATGACAGGTATACATGTAGTGGCTGTTAAAACATACTTGCCAGAGGTGGCATGTCAAACTGTAACTGACAATCCACCGTATTTCTGCCCCCCGAGCCTCCATCATGACCATATCCTCCTCTCAAAAGAAAGCAGCTGCCTTGGCTCTCCTTAAGTCATCTCCTGCTTAACAAAGGAAGGCTGCTTCCCTGGCTTCAGCCACAGCTGCTGCTGCTGTATCACTAGCTTCAGTATCATCTCTTATTAGATCACCTCAGCATAATTCAATTTTAACTGGTCATGCTTGAGTTAGAGAGCTATTATGTGGACATCCTTGTCAATTCTATAATATGATGGGGCTTTCCGAGCCGCTTTTCCGCAGGCTCATTCAAAAGCTCAAGGATTATGCAGATTTTTGTCACTCCAAGCATATCTCAACAGAGGAGCAGCTTGCTATCTTTCTCTGAATGTGTCGCACTGGTGGAGCAAATAGGGATATGCAGGAGAGGTTCTAGCATAGTGCTGATACAATTTCAAAGTATGCATGTGTTTATTCTTCAATATCATTCACTGAGTATCAAACCTAGTTACTTATAGGATCTTTTTCACTGTATGCTCAATATGGTGGTTTCTCCTGCCTTTTACCAGAAATACATCAATCTCCCCCCTAATGAGGAGATCCCTCCTGAAATCCAAGATGAGCCCAAGTTCTATCCCTTCTTTAAACAGTGTCATGGTGCCATAGGTGGTAGCCATATTGATGTCTTTGTTCCTGATGATACTCTTACTGGACGCTATTGTAATCGGAAGGGTCAGCTTTCTCAAAATATTCTTGCTGCTTGTACCTTTGACATGCACTTTTTATATGCCCTGTCTGGCTGGGAGGGCAGTGCTGCTGATAGTTGTGTGTATAACAATGCTCACAGCAATGGCTTTGTAATTCCTCCAGGTCTATATTATCTTGCAGATGCAGGCTTTCCCTCATGTGATTCTCTTTTGGTCCCCTACTATGGAGTACGATACCATTTGAAGGAATGGGGTAGAGCTTCACAAAGGTCTTTATATCTTTCACTTTGATATCTCAGCTCATACTTGTTATCTTTCAGGCCCAAAAACTTCAAAGAGCTTTTCAATTTACACCATGCTCAAGCTCATAATGTTATTGAGCGCATCTTTTGGGGTGGTTAAGAGACACTTTTGACTAATGGTTGCAGCTCCAGAGTATGCTTTGGAGGTACAAACAAAGCTTGTTCCTGCACTTTGCATTTTTCACAACTTCATACAAGTTCATGATCCTGATGACAGTAACAATGAAGAAGGGGACAGCATAGGTGGTGGACAGAATAGTCAAACTGTGCGGCAGGACCAAAAGGATCATAGTCATGTCATCAAGTAATAGTAAAGCTATTAGACGGATGTAGTTGGATTAAAGGACATCATCAGAGATAGCAGAATATGCATCAGCAATGGCAATATTCTTGGTGAATAGTGCAATTGCTTGTGTGCGCTTAGCAGTAGACAATGCATCATCAACACAAACAGCCTTGATTGCAGCAATTCTCCTCTTAGGTATGCTGGGGACATCATTAATAAGCTGGGAAATACTAGGGTCAGGACGACTGAGTGATGAAGCCATAGCACTAAGAGCATCTGCAATTCCAAGGATGGCAGAAGGTCCTGTCACCTTGGTACAAAGGCGCTTTGATGCAGATGCAGGAGTGGGTGATCCAGAAGCTGCACATTTGTGTTTTGAGCTCTGAGACACTTCAATAGAATCCTAGATAAATGAATAGTGAGGTAAAGTCAACATCAAGCCATATCACATACTTGAGACTTTTCTTCCCCATCCAAGTCTAAATCACTCTCTGGATGACCATCCACTGTGCCCACATCATCTTGATCCACTTGCTCCTTGTAAGGATGAGGTGAGGGCAAAGAAGGCTCATCAATCTCTGGGATATGAAAAGCACCCTCACCAGTGGCATAGTGTCCATCAATGAGTCCAATTATATTGTCATAGAACGGAAAAGGGTTTGTACACCATAGCTTTGCTTCTGGATGGGACTGAGGCAGATCTAATTGAGTACATCCCATGCTAAATTATTGACTCTATACTTACTGCAATATAGTTATCCCACACATCTTTTTCAGCAGTTACTTTCTTTCTGGTATTATCCCATCCAAAACTAGCAGCTCTTGGAGCTGCTGAACAACAAGGCACATAGCCTTTAACTGTGATGATAAAAATCAGTACAATATATGTTGTACAATGGTTGACTTACTGTTCCCCAATGTTGGCTACATTTTGTAGATATGTCTTTGGTGCACCACCACTGGTTTTATGGCTCTGCACTAGCACAACAGCTACAGCAACAAAAGCTGATTTTTTGAAGTTATTGTTAAGTTGATTACCTTCCATTTGTGCCTCCTTCAATTTATCCACAAATGTGGCATCATCCTCTGATGTCCATTTCGCATTTTGGGGCTCTTTTGGGGCTGGACTCTGAGATTGTTGACTAGGAGGTTGGTTCTCTTTGTTGGCAAGGAGCCTGTTTTTCATAGATGAAATCTTGAGTGTGGGCTTTTGAGGTGGGTTTGAGAGTAATAGAGCAGTATGAGCTACTGTAGTTTGAGTGTAAAAGTTGGGAACACAATTTGCAGACCAGTGTGACAAAGTTTTTCCAAAACGAGCTGAGTTGCCAAACACATCAGCTTGTTCCGAAACGGCACCATTTTAAAACAAAACGCAACTCTTTTTGGTGGGTGACATTTTGAAATGGTGACTGCCAAACGGGCCCTTAGCCCGTAATACTTTCCTTTATATCAGCTCTAGCTTTGCTCATCCCCATTGCTCCTTAGTTAGTTAGCATTGGACTTATGCTACCCTTATTCTCTGAACCAGTATATAACACCCCTTGTTTGTAGTTGTAGGGGAGCGCTTTCTGCATCAATAGTAGACTTAGAACTGTGACATTTATTGCGCTCGGGAGCTCTCCCACTTTTCGCTTTCTTTTGTGTGACATTTTTTGTGACCGTTACATAAATGGTCCTCAAACCTCGCCTAGCACTTTCCTTAAGGTTTGCTTAGGGCACTCCTTAAGTGAGGGTTAAGAAAAAAGACACTGCAGAGTTGGGCGGCACCTTGTCGGAGGTTGAAGGCACGGCACATGCAGCTGAGGTGTGTTATGCAGCCTCCCATCAAACACTTATCACTTGCCATCCACTGATTCTCAACAATCTCCCCTGGCCCCACAAAACAAGAAAACTCACCCTCCCAATTTGTCTCAGAGAGCCTCGCTTACCCCCTCCACAGATTTGAGCTAGCAGACAGAAGGCACCCGGCAGCTTCAGGTTTAGTGGGGGAAAAAGCCAGCCTGAACTCGGAGGCTCATTCACTACTTGAATAGGCACAAAGAGCACTGTGGTGCTTTATTTTCAGATTCCACCAAGGAGGCAAAGTCCCGTGGTCACCACAAAGTTGTTAACAAGAGTAGCTCCAGCAAATCTGATGTCCACACTATTATTGCAGATCATATATTCTCTGTTGATGAACATGCTGACACACGCCAAGATTATGCTAACAATCAGCAGAAGTATGCTCGGGCAGTGGATAACCATCTCTCAAAGGAAGTCTCAATGCCCCCATTTCTTTAAATGGCCAATTTGATCTTATCACACAGTTTGAAAACAAAGTATCAGGCCTTTAATTGCAAACTTGGCTCCACTGGTTTAGGCTTTTGCTACAATGATATTGAGCCAGAAACTCATGCCTGGAATCTGATCAGTAAGTCCCTCCCCTCCTCCTCCCCCTTCTCTTTGATCTTGCAGTTTTTTTAACTGCTTTTTCTTTCAGAAAAACTTAAAATCAACCTTCCATGATAGGAGGATCTGCACGGCTGGTGGAGGGAGATACCCTCCATCAACATACTGGCCATCTCATCATCCCCAGGTCATAACCATGGCAAGGAGGCCTCCGATCTAGAGATATCTCTCCAAATTGCCAGCTGAGGCCCTAACTCATCAGCTGTCACCAGCCAAAACCCCTCCTTTACTACCACCTTCTAGTATAGACCCTCCTCCAGCATCTACTTGTACAGACCCTGCAGTGTCTGCTCTCGACCAGAATGTGCTGCAGTTTATGCAATATGATGCTGCCCTGGAGGTGCATCCGGGATATGTGCGCAGCCCTGCTGACACAACTCTACAACAAGTGCTGAACCAGATCCCCCCTCTTTCTGTAACGGACAACTCCTCGCTTGATATGCCAAGCCTTAAGGAGGACTCAAAACCACACAGTGTTGGGTCTGTGTTCAGGACCAGGGGTGTGAGTTGTGCTCACAGCCCAACATTTAGCCCCCCTCAAGGACGCGGCACCTCCCCCCCCATTCTTCTCATCCTCACATTCACCTCAAGCCTCCCTGTATGCTGTCTCCCCTTCTTTAAAGGAGGGGGAATGGCATTTGTTTTACCAGTCTAGTGCTGACTCAGATTCTGACACCACCGGCTTCTCATCCTTCCCCCCAGGTCCATCTGGCCTCTACCTCGTCAGCATTCACCCGCCCCCCCCACCCAGAAGACTTCTAGCAAGCATGGGTGTGAATCAGTGCATGCCAAGGCACTCAAGAAGGCCAACAGTTCCTTGTGCTACTCAAAGGTAGCAACATCATCAAACACCAGAAGCTCAACCTCAAGGTCAAGGTCCTAAGTGATTGGGAGGTTGAGCAAGAGCATAAATGGGAAACGCAATGTGAACACTATGAATCGGAGCAGAGTCTTGCACAGGCTTGTGTTGAGGAGGCCCGCATCAAGCTTGAGACGGTGAAAATTCAGTTGGCAATGCAGTGTGTCTCGTCGCAACCCCCGGTGTTTGGGGATGAAGTTATTGCCCCCCCCCATGGATAATGTTTGAGTATGCTCGCCCCCCCCCCCCTTTTTTTTATGTATTTATATGTTGTATGTTGCTTCATCATTACATAATAGTACAAACTATATGATTGTATGTCTTATATGTTTGCAATGTCATGCTGCTTTTGTGTGTTTCACTATGAGTTCTTGTTGTACAACTTTGTTACTCTAGTTCTTTCTGTAAAATGTAAGACATAACATTTAACATTCAATACACAAGGTACATAATAGACACAAGAAACAAGACATGTATTTAAGTTGGAGCTCTGTCCAGAGCTCTTAAGATTGGACCCATAAGACTGTTACAAAAATTCTGGCCATGAGACAAAAAATTATCAAAGTCAGGTACACTGTCATCTCTAAGTCTTCTTCTCCTCAAGAGCCCAATCAGCTGTATTTTTCCCCCTCTTCTCTTCTTTTCAATACTAATAATCATGTTGTGCAAGATTAAACAGCATTTGATCCATGCCATTGCAAACCTATGTCCATTGGTATCATTAATATTGATCCTCAAATCCTTGAGAGATTGAAAGCATCCTTTCAAAGCTGCAAAAGCATGCTTTGTATAGACACGTATCTAGGTCCAATATCAGTCAATAAGAGAGCATATAAGAATCAATTTACATACTTTGGATAAATGATAGTTAAAGACTTTCTGATTATGGATGATCTTCCCACCAAGTGATTTTTTGAATGGCACAACACACCACTTCTTACTGGGATAAGCAGAATCAGCCCAAATCCACTCAATGGGACCAAAAAGTGTTTGGTGTTTATTATAAATGCGAGTATCACACAAAGCACTTGCATCATGAGTAGAACCAGCATGGCCAGTACTGTAGTCATAAATACGGAGGTTGTGGGGAGAAACCACAATCTGTGTAAGGCATTAACTAAGAGATAAAAAAGTAAAAAAGCTACTCACCTGAAAACTAATAGAGTACCTTGATTTCCTGTCAAAATACCCTTCCCCATAGAAGCCAGGCTTCTGGTAAAGGTTAAAGCCCGAACCATCAGCGCATAACCATCCTCCTTCTCATGCCCTAATGGTCTTGCTTCTCACCTACTCTTTTGCTTTCTTCTTATCAGCATCTCCATCCTGGGGAAACTTGATATACTGATCATGCCTATTGAGAATGGCTATCATGACTCACTCTGTATAGTCCACAGTAGACCTAGTAAAAACTCCTGTTAATATAGCAGTGTCCTCAATGGAGGCTGTATCTCCATAGTGTCCAAAATGGAACATGGCACATGCAATCTGCTGCTTAGCAGGAGCCTGTGGGTTATTAGAATTATTATAAAAGCTTGGGTCATCTTCTAGCCTCTACACAATCTCAAAAACAGTAGAGGGAGAGGTACACATCAGACGGTGAAAGATAGAACAGTTATTTTCAGCCCATTCATGGAGATATTGAAATACAGAAACATAAGGGGCAAAAGGACAATAGGTGAGAACACGAGTAGAAAGGATGACATCTTCAATGGCAAACAGATTGGTGGTATGAGCTAAGATGATATTGTCCATACCAGAAGATGAAGAAGAGAAAGAAGAGTGGGAGGAATCAGAATCATCACCAGGTAATGCCCCCCCCCCCTCAGGGTGCAATTCTACTTCAGAAATTAATTCAGCAATTTTATGCTGAATAAAGATATTCAAAGCATGTTGCTTGGCATTCTGCAAAGCAGAAAGAAGCTGAGCTTCTTCAGAGACTTTAGGCATGGCTGAGACAAAACTTTAAGCTCTATTCTCAAGGTCCTGTCCTTATATATGAGCCTGGGGTGTTTCTGTGTTTCTATTAAGTTGTTATTGAACCTAGAGCATGCTATCTTTGCTCAAATTTACTCAACTACCCAAAGGTGGCAGCTTACTAATCTCAATATCCGCACAATATGGCTGTGGCTGGTTTTTCTCAAAATATTTTGCAACTATTTGGTATCTACTGACTTTTAAATCCTACAGTCTCACTGCTCAATGCCGGAGCGTCTTTTTTCCTTGATGCTCACTTAAGAAGTGCCCTAAGCAAACCTTAAGGAAAGTGCTAGGCGAGGTTTGAGGACCATTATATTTTTCACATTACCCATCTATAACTACATCCAAAAAAACCATCTTTTTGTTGTCTGGACCTTGGACTGATCACCCAGGATCACCCGGATGACCATCTCAAAAATATTGAATAGCACAAATAGGACAGGCCCGTATAACCTGCATCAAAGAAGTTGCCTGGTAGTTGCAGCGCAACTACAGGCTAGTAGTGAGTCATCACTACCTTGCCGAACTGATAGTCCATCTTCCCAGATTATTACCCTTCAGGGACCAGGTTCAATATCCGTCGCTGATACTCAGGTTAACCCCTCGAGTAACACAATGAGGAGTCCCTCACACCGTCCTGGAGACGAGTATGAGGAGGTACCAATATTATACCAGACACCTGTCAGCACCGGTAGAATAGATAAAACATTGAATTTACCTCCGCATATTGATATATCCTGAAAAACTCAGCCCGGATGCGGGCATGAGTCTGTCTTAAATGCTGAACAAGAAAGATTGGTAAGGCAAGCAGAGTTGAGGCTTACAAATGAGCAACTGGAACAAATCCTAAAACATAGGGAAAAGAAAGGCAACCACTATGACCCTGAAAAAGGGTCGGATAGAGATGAAGGACCTTCACTTTCAAAAGGAAAGGGACTGGACCCAAGGAACTGGGGAAATATCTCTGCTGAGTCCGATATGAATCTCGATGAGCAACAAAAAGCTTATGAGACTTGGAAGGAGGCACAATACTGGGCACAACAAGAACCCGTGAACTTATACCACAAAATGAATCCTTCATCCAAAAAGTCGGCTGAAGAGCAAAACAGAGAATTACAAGGCACTTATGAGCGGGAGACCAGTAGAACTAAAAATGAACTTACTAAACTAAGGGCACACTTAGCCAAAGAAAAGGAAAATATCAATGTGTTCATCCAGACATTGCTGTCTTAGATGCTACTAACTGTAACAACCAAGAATTTTGTTACTCTGGCGCACAACTCAGACAAAGCTGTAAAGGTAGTGAGGGGAGTGGTTACCCTTTAGGATAGGACCAAGTTAGTTGTGGGTAAACAACAGAAGGACTTGCTGAGGAGTCTCCTGGATCTATTGGGTATTTATACTACTCCATGTTGTTTGTACATGTGTACTATACAGTTTGATGAGGGCAGTGGCTGATGATGTCACAAGGCACAGCCCATGTGACCAGTTCCACTGTGTGAGATACTTGTAGCTAAAAATAAAGAAACACAGCCCAGTGCAAGAAGGTGGAGTTTGAACAAAAGGAAAGTGCTGTCTGGCACAGTGTGTGAAAACTACAGAAGAAAGTTAAAGAGGAGAATAAAAGTTAAAGGTCCAAAAATGGTGTATCGTAACACTAACCCTGTAGTAAAACTCATAAACAAAATGATTGAGCCTACCCAGGAATTGGGAACCACCAGGACACCCCATAAGTTAAACCTAATCAACCAAATCCTGGCCGCCAGTTACATTGGGAGATTATTAGGACAAATGAGAAACAAAAATAGAGGACCCTCAGACTCAGGAAGCTCATTGAGTGAATCCAATTTGAGTTCCAATGGAGACACAAGTGATTCTTCCTCTAATGACGACTCCAAAGTGTCATCATTGGGTCATAGATTGAAACATTGGAAGAAGAAATCCTGAAAAAAAAGAAAAAAACAAATCTTGAAGCCAACAGAACCGGCACCATATGATGGTAAAGCTCACTAGTGGGAGTTCCACTGATTTGTGATGGCCGCAACAGCCTATGTAAAAGAAGGGCAAGTACCCTAGTCTAACAGGGTATACCGGTTATCACTGTTTCTCAAAGAAAAGGCATACAAATTCAAGAAGTAGCCAATAATCCCTTCAAATAGAATCTGTATAGGTTCTTCATAGGAATGTTTAATTATTACTTTCTGGTGAACTTTTGTTTGGAGCAATGAGACAAACTAAGGAAACACTATCAGAATAACAAATCAGTCCAGAAATACATCTACGAACTGACCAAACTCTGGAATATGATCAGCGACATGGATGAGAGACAAAAGGTGATTCAGCTCTGGATCGGGTTAAATGGTGACCTGAAAAAGGGACTGTGGATAAAGTAATTACATCCCAAAGTCTCAAGCCTCACTGAAGTTCAAGGAATGGCCAAACTCCTCAAAACAGCCAACACAGCTGGGGAAGTAGGAGCTAGAAGGGCCCAACAAAAGGAAAAAAAGATAGACCCACCAAACGACTCGGTCAGTTGAAACCATATGGAAGAAGTTGTTTTCCTCCAAAGAACCAAGGATCTCAGCCTGATCAACCAAGGTGCAGCAGCTATACTGTGTAAGACGTCCGTGGTTACATGTCATGTTTAAGATCCTACATTGTATAACCTTGGCTATATAGCTCAATTGGTAGAGCAGCTGGCATGTATCCAGAAGGTTCCAGGTTCAATCCCTGGTCTGGTCATTATCCAGTTTTATCAAGAACCTCTCAGCAGCCGCAGAAGAGGTCCGCAAAATTAGTAGGACCATAGAGCTCTACACCATGCAATTTGGTGGTGGGTCCACCTGTTACAATCTGAGGAGACTATAACATCCATAATCCAATCCTTATTGGCAATGGAAGACCATGAACCTTGAACAATGGATGGTAGCATAACTTTAGGGCCGGATTAGGATTATAATAGAAGACCAGATGATAGCAGGGAATTGTAGAGTAGATTCAACTTGTTCTATCCTAATGTCATACAGGGGTCTATATACTGAATAGGTAGTGAATCCAAGTTCAGTGTCATTATGTATTATGGACACTATACAAGTACTCCTAAAGGACATTTAGGGTACAACAAGGACATCCTATTGGAGTATCCGGGACATATTTAGATTACCACATATATAAACCCTAAAGGACACCTTGTTACCTATTATGAGACATTTTTGAATTTAGAACATCCTAGGATAGTCCTACCTTGTAATAATATAGGATATATAACTTTTGAATTTTTAATCAATATAAGGACCCCTGGCACCACTTTGGAGTCCTAGGATTCTCAAATGTCCCTTGGATTGAATTTAATTTAAGAGAGTCCTGTATGGATTACCTGCATGTGGGATAATCTCAGGATAAAAGCCTCTTAGGCAGATCATTGAACTATAACTGATCAACCTAAGAGGCTATGAAAAAAGGTTGACTGAAGTGCAAATCCCTAGAGAATACTACTACCTCATCCCAATGATAAAATTGTATATTAACCAGACCAGGGACTGAACCTGGAATCTTCTGGATACATGCCAGTTGCTCTACCAATTAAGCTATATTGCCAAGGTTATACAATGTAGGATCTTAAACATAATATGCAACCATGGACGTCAAAACAAAGTTGTCTCTGCCCTTTTCTTAGTTATCAAAGGTGCATTTCTGAATGTAATCACAGATGTACTCATACACGACATGAAGCAACCAGGTATACCTGGACCTATATCCACATTCGTCAGAACCACTCTACAACAACGATGCACAAAACTAAAATTTGACGACTACATTTCTGACTGGACAACCATTTGCAATGGTGTCGGACAAGGAGACCCCATGTCTATCCACAATGCCTCACTCATTGACATTGCAGCAAAAAACAACAAAAATGAGCTAACACTAGCTTTTGTAAACAACACAGTTCTCCTAGCAATAGCACCCATATTTACTGGAATGCATGCCATTGTCACTGACATGCTAGAACAAGATGACGGAGCACTACAATGGGCCAAAACACATAACTCCAAATTCAAAATATCAAAATTTGCGCTAATAGACTTCTCACACAGCACAACAAAAATACGCCAACCAATACAAATTGGCAACAATGTGATACAACCACAAAACTTCACCAAATTCCACCAAAATCTATAATAGCAATAGCCAAAGGAACCCAATACGCATTATAAATCTGACGACTATCCCGAAACACCACAGGAGTCTCTCCCAAGCACATCCGACAACTTATTCAAGCTGTAGCAATCCCACAGATCACCTACGTAGTGGACATATGGTGTAAACCCCCCTTTAAATGTAACACCATAAAACTCAATCGCAGTGCTGCAGGAACCACTCAAAAAACAGACAGCGTACAAAGAATTGGCCTAATCACAGCAACAGGAGCTATGTGCACCACAGCAACAGACGCACTAATGTCACACTTATACATCCCACCAGCCACCATATTACTCAATAAACTCTGTTTCAGATCAGCAGTCCACATTGTGTCTCTGCCCCCACAGCACCCCCTACATGCAGCCTACATGAAAGCCCACTGTCACCCCACAGTAAAATGTCACTGACACACATTACACAAACACGCATTAACATACAACACCAAGAGTTAGTTACTCTGGCGCACACAAGAACACACTATAAAGGTAGTGATGAGGGAGTGGTTACCCCTTAAGCTGCAGAGAGTTTGTTGGTATACAATAGGTGGACTCGCTGAGGAGTCTCCTTGATCTATTGGGGTATTTATACTAATACAGAGTGTTTGTACCTATGTACTGTACAGTTGATAACAGCAGTGGCTGATGATGTCAGAGGGTGCAGCCTGTGTGACCAGCTCCACTGCGTGAGAGAGTTTGTGTCTAAAAGAAGAATAAAGGCAGCGCTGCGCGAGAAGGTGGAGTTAGAACAAAAAGGAAAGTGCCGCATGGCATAGAGTGTGAACTATAGTAACAAGATTAAAGTGGAGAATGAAAATTAAAGGAAAGGTCCAAAAATTGTGTTATTGTAACAACAACATACACCTAGACTCAGTTGAAACCATATACCTCATCCAATACCCACCACACACTTGTCTGATCTACAAAAAACAAGTCCCACCAACTCAACAAGAAGCTATCAACAATTATGAAACCATCAATGACAACATACAAATATTTACTGATGGATCCATGCATGACAATGCAGCAGGAGCAGCAGCAGTCCTATACCACAATGTTAGGAAGAGCAAAATGCTACAATACCACCTAGGTCCATCCCACTTGCATACAGTCTTTGAAGCCAAAGCTATAGGACTCACACTAGCCGCAAAGTTGCTACAGTCAACCAGGTGCATCACTTATCCCACATTTATTTTTACAGATAACCAGGCAACCATAGTGGCCAGTCACATCTTTGACGGACGTCTTGGCCACTACATTCTTGACTACTTTAATGTAGAAATCAAAGCACTTTGGAAGCAACACGGAAGAACATGCAACATAACACTACAATGGATTGCAGGACAAAAGGGAATACCAGGCAAAAAAGATGCAGACAAGCTAGCAAAAGAAGCTGCCACATGATGTCCTTTACTCACCTGGGACAAATAGTGACTGAAGATACCCAGAGCTGCTGAAATAAAGGGTAGGAAAGTTAATACACCATTGTTACTGCGTTCTTACTTCCTTACTTTAGAATCTGTTGAAGATGGATGGGGTGATCTCTGTGCTTCTTGCTTTCAAAACTCTTACAAAGACCAAGGACTAATGGTGCTTATCTTCTCCTGCTCTGTGTCTCTCCTTTCTCCTTACCTATTTTGCCTACAGCCTTGACAAAACCGGATAAACCCTGTCTCTGCCGAAGCAGCCATTGTTCTCCATGGAGCATAGCCACCACTCCATGGAGTCATTATACTGTAGCGAGTAGCACCTCGGACTATAAGTAGTAGGGGGATTAGTATAGGAATACCTCAGTTATTTCTATAGCCTCTCGGGCAGCGGCTGAGGTATGTTACATTACATTTGTTAGAGATTACCTTAAACTAACATCTATTGTAGTTTCACTTAGGTAAATAATAAAGTCGTTTCTATAGCCTCTTGGGCAGCGGCTGAGTTTCACTTAGTTTTATTAAGCCTAAGCCTTTCAATGCTGTTTACAATGCCAGATCAGTTTTCAAACCAAAATCTCTTATGGATGCCTATCCAGCCTCTGATGTTAAACAAGGTGACTTTGTACTCCTCAAAGTATACTTGAAACAATTTGGGACCACCTTCAATGGCCAAGACAATGATCTCTGGAACTGCTGGAAAACTACTTTCAAACTGCAGGCTGTATCAGTTATTCACAGTGAATCCACATTGATCTCTATTTAACAAAAGTGATTTGTACCAATCTTCTTATCTACTCCTTTTCAAATCTAATCCTCTTCTCTTTTCCGTGGAGCCGGTTTCTCCACTGTCCCTTTCCGATGTACCATTATTGATCCCATTCTTGTGTCCATACCGTAAAAAAGTTTGAAATCTAAACTTTTTTGTCTCCTTCATGTCTATGTCACCAACTAACATGCACAACAACAATCCCTTTCTCCCATCTGATGAAGAAATTTTCAACTTGATGGACAACATCCTTGCTTGTGAGCCTTCTGCAGGTACTGGGTGCATCACTTGTATTTTGGATGAATGGAAACCTTTCTGGACTATTAGCCAAAAGGTCTCTCCTTTTCCCTCCAGTTTTGCCCTAATGATACTCTCTAATTTGCAGAGAATGTGTAAACCTTGCCACAATCATTGATCCCGTTCTACCATAAACTATCCTTACTTTGTTATTGGTCCCATTTTTGTCGACTGTTCTTCTCTCTCTCTTGCAATGACCTAGTACAACGCATCCATCCCATCTCCTTGCCCTTCCCTGTCAATGATCTCGAGGTCTTGACTCGTGTTGCTACCCTACTTTGCACCAACTTTCCTTCCGACTTCAGAAGGTTCTACAATTGCAACCCTTCCATCATAAACTGGTACTTCCAGTTATATGGTTCTCCTATCTCTTCTCCACCCAATGGAATTGTTAATTTCTATTTCCTGAAAGACCCTCAATTGGTGGTCCAATCTACGTCATAAAGGGGGGCCTGCTGATGAAGATTGGATCCGCAATTAAACTATGACCGCTGATGACATTGCATATACCATATGGTGGTACATAAGGAGTGGCAATCATCCCTCAGCCACTACTCGGGAATGCAAGTATATCCGCTGTCTCACCACCATTTGATGTCAACCTCTACTGCTGTTCTTGCTGTCTCATATTGCATACAGGAGAGACATCCAGTAATTCTATTCACACATTACTCACAAAGCAATCATTGTCGGTGTTCCCTGCAAACCAGACACATACTCTGTTGCTCCTTTTCTCACCACCAACTTCAATCCACTGTCATTCTTTCCTCCTCTCGTCAACCCAATTGATAATAATGTCAATCACATACTTTGTGACTACAAACATGCTCCTGAAAATCACCTCATCCCTCTTATCAAAACAAGTGTCTGTAATTACCTGGAATATGGAGGGTCTGTCGGCGGTAACAATTACTTCGGCCCTTTTCACCCCTTGCACTCCACCACCATACATCCTCCCTTTCTAAAATCTCGTGAACTTGATTCACTTTCTTTGCCACAGTGTATCCTATATTTTGCTAACCATTACACCATTTATTTCCTTGATCAGTCCTACCCTTCCAAAGTTAATACTCTGCTGTGTGACTTGCTACAGCTTCATTTTCATCGGCTGACCACTGAACCTTCTTGGAAAGGTGGCCTTCTTCCCCAACTCTGAACATTAGTTGAGGAGGGTTCTGTGGGTAGCAAACGGCCATCACTTTGTTGATTGCTCTGCAAAATGAGGTAAGTTAAATTTCTGATTAGTAATGCTGTGTTTTTCCTTTTTTTTAATGCAATTGCTTCTTTTTCTGTAACATATTGTGTTTGTGATCCGCATTATTTACACTCCAATTGTATAGTTTGTATTTGATCTTCGCCACTATTCAAACTCACAACCAACTCACAACTGTGGAACTTGTTCCCCGACTCCATTTACACGCTAAATTCATAATGATAGACCAATATTTTGAAAAATTACATGCATAGAAGTTTGACTGACTTTCCACTGAGTTGATTTGAGTTGGAATATTAGACTAAATATTAAAAAAAGGCTAAACTGGTTAGACTCTGACAAAGTCACATGCTGGTGGCCAGCACTGTAAAATTATTCACACTCCATTTTGTCTTCTTGTATGTGTGCTCTCACATGGTGGTTTATCAATATCCATTTAGATGTACTGTTGTTGACTGTCAGTTCAGATGGGGGGCTATTTAGACGTCACAGAGGTCACACAAGCTCTGCTCAGCACTTACTATCAGTGGTTGGACATGATTTTGAGTGTGGTGCACCTGAACTTTTTGAAATTGAGATTGCAGTACCTTAGTAGAGTGTACAAACAAAATAATGCCAATTAGTAAAAATAAATAAAACAAAATAACAATCTTAAGGTTCTGCCACCTTCCCCAACTCTGAACTAGTGTTTGAGTTTGCACTGGTGCAACTTGGACTTGGTTTCATTCCCATATGCCACTACCAGTGCTTGTATACTATTATTACTACCTGCTTTCAGCTAAGTGATTAGTCTTTTGACCAGCATTATATATAAAGAGCTCCTTGATATGTGACAAACTTTTACTATGGCAAATACAGTATGCAACTTAACCAAAAATACATTGATTTGGACAACAATTCAGTAGTGTTGCACACAAAAATTCTGATATTTGCTGATCTCCCTTCCAAATGTCCTGAGGCATTTTGTATTATGAAGCTGCAAATGAAGTTTACTGGTGTCAGAATGGGGTTGGGTCAGAGGTCTGATAAGCAGAACAGCCGGGCTAGGTGAAAAGCAGTCATTATCTTGCTGTTGGGTTGGGCATGGAGTATATGATGCAGTTCTAATATGTGTCCTGTGCTGTTGCTTGAACTGAGCCAACACAGACATGAGTTGAGTTGCCTGTTGAGCCTATGAAAGCTAATGAGTTGAGAGGCAAGGATGAAACTAGCAAAAAAGGTTTTGTCATTAGTTCAAAACACTGTTTTCACCTGCTCAGCACTGGAAACAAAGAATGACTGTAAGTGATAGCAACCACCTCACTGTAAGGTAGTGTAGTAAAGTATTGTAGTATGTATTTGTATTACTAGTATAATAACATACAATTAATCTAGAAACTTTCTAGAGATATGTTAACACAATCAACATGCCAATAGAAAGCAAAACTATACAATGATGGATAGTAAAGGTAGGATTGTTTTACTTGGAGATAGTTTTGGTTCTCTGTGGTCCACAAAATTGTGTTACTTGGAGGTAGTTACTGTTCTAGGCTGTCTGGAGATGCAAAGGAGCTTGAAGATAGTTGCAGTTTTCTGTGGTCCATAGGCAGGAAGGGTTGTTGGTGTTCCATAAGGAGAAAGGGTTGTCAGCGGTCTATAGGTACAAAGAGACTGTGAACTGGTGGAGGCGCAAAAGAGCGGTGGTCCATAGATAAAAAAGGAACTAGAAACAGGTGGAGGTGCAACTGGTGCAGGTGTGTAAGACCGGCTTGCAGGGCGCTTAGTTCTTGATGCATTCTGAATTGGAGTGCTGCGGTCAAATGCTGAAGTGATGTTACTGTTATTTATGGTATGTATTGCGTCAATATCATTTTGATTAGCCTTTTTCAGGCAGATATGCTTTGCAGTGTTGAGCCTGATCTGATTTGTATCTATCATGCAATGAGGTAAGTTGTGCAGATGGGAAGGAATGACTGGGAGGATCCTACAATGGCTGTATAATGCATGCATGTTTAAAACAAATTGATTGTTTGACTTTTGTAAATTTGGTCATTTTCAAATGCTCTTGATGTTGCCTTACATTTTTTATGTCTTTGCACATTGCAGTGCAGCAGTCATGCTGTATATTAACAACGCAAATTATGTCCTGTGCAAAATTGGTTGTGTATTTAGTTGCATCAATAAATATACTCATTTCAGGCTTGCAAACATCTTTGTTTGCAGTAACTCTGAGACATGGGACCCGTAATATAGAGTGTAGGGCCAGTAAGAACTCAAGTCTTGTCAGCACAATATGTGAAGCCCGCTGAGTGCTTGCTTGAGTCCCTACATCTGGCACCATAATTTCTTGAACCTTTCCAATATACAAACTTCCTCATGACCAGGCTATAATGTGAGAGTTGATACGTGCTCTATCCCCATCTTGCGTGACAAACGGTTTGGCCATTTGTAAGTGTGTATGAGCAGGTGGGCTTGAACCTCCAATAACCTTGGCCACTTTTGTTGAACTCCAGGCGATTGGATCAGGCTTGACACTTTTGGCTGAGAACAACCGGACAGACCCAACTGTATGTGTGACATTTGGAACAAGGCCCAGGAGTCAACGTAGTTTGGGGTGGGATGTATACTCTAATATTGCACTGCCAGCACTAACCCACTTCTTCAAAGTGGGATCTAGCCAAAGTCCACCTGTCACAATATGTTTGATGATCTCTTGTGTGGCAAACAAGTTGCATGTGTCTCAGCTTGGGGCTTGACAATTGTTGTAGATAGATGCTAGACAAAACACATGATTGAATGATTTATATCTCTCAGTAGAGAACAAGATAAGGGGTCCAAAATGTCGTATATAAGCTGGGAGATAGGCGAGAAAGTGAAATTTTGGCTTCGTGATGAGTGTATGGAGGCACATTTTGCTGTGACGTTGAGGAAATCTTTGATGGTTCTTGAAAAATCCGCTTATACATTGTCAACAAACAGCTCTAGCCTATAGATGACATGCATACCAGGTATTTATTGGTGTCCTCAATCTCGGTATGCCAGAGAAGCGTTACTAACTCACCCATGATGCTCCAACCAGACACTAAGTCCTATGGGACAATATCATACACTAGGTAGGCCATAACATGTACCAGACTTTTGAATTGCTTGCCTATTAAGCTTCCTTTATATTGACAGACATATTTGGCACCTAGAATTGGGACCTTAAGCCCATCTTTGTTGACACACCAATTTTCTGATTGCCTTGGTCAGACTTCTTTTCCACTTGTGTCCCTCCAACTTTGCAGGTCTGGCAAAAATAGTTACATTTGAGGCCAGCATGGCTGCATTCCTCAGGTTGCATTGGATTGTTGCCAGCTACAAATAAATTATAAGGCATTAGCATGACTTCCTCATCATACTTGCAGTCCCATATTATTACACCAGTATTCGCTGTGTCACTATACAGATTCAAGTATCACTTGTAATGTAGCATGTTAGTGTATCTGTAACATACCTAATAGAGTTTTGAACAGCTTTTATAAGCTCCATGGGGGATGTATACGGTGAGGAAGACACAAAACGGATATTAAATTCCTTCTCTAACATCTTCCGGGGCATGGCAGCGTTTGACATGTAAACAATGTGCCAGAGACGTTGTCTATGAATAAAATCAGCAGCACAGTAAGAACCATTTGCCCACCTGATTTTTTTTGAAGTGGGTTGGGCATAGCATTGGCATAGGTTTGTGAAGATTCTACAAGGAGTATCAGAGGCGGTTTATACATTAAGTGAGAAAATGTACGGGTAAAATTGCAAAATTCCTCAAGACTCTTGTAGATGTGCTCAAAAGTCCATACAAATATTGAGGTTGAGGTGATAACAAGCTCAGGGTCCACATTAAATCCTACCTGCAATGTTAATAGTACAGCGTAAGAAGGATGACCTATGTATACACCTCTGAATGCACAACACCTCGTCCTCAAGCAAGCACCTCTGTCAGCATAGCACTGTCAGTATTAGATTTAGCCTGGATAACTTTTTTGGGGATGAAGTATCCCCCATCAGCTTGCTGTAGTAATTCATTAGCAAATTAAATATAGCTGTCCACTCAAACAGACGGTATTGACAATGATGGTGGTAGGTCAAAAAGGATTTTGCTTCCATTGTAAACTTGTGACATCCCTCCTTGATCAACAATTTTACTTTTAGTAAACTACAGGGTATTTTGGAGAACAACACACCAAATATGTGGCACTTACTGTCATCTTACAGCAATATGGGATTTTTAGCATGCTAATTTGTTCACCTTACACCAGATTCGGCCCCATAATATTGTATGTAGTTTTTAACTGATAGTCCATCTGTGTGATTAATAATGGACTCATCATAAAACAGACCACACTGGGACTTGCTATTGCCACTCACTTACACATGTTCACAGTATGCCAATTACTCAGCTCAATGTCAAAGCCTATATCTATTTTCCACATCATCTCACCAATTGTTGTTCAGCGTGGATAGTCACCTAGGAAGATCAGTAGTATATGATATAGTATATGCAGCACCCAGCACAATGACATATGCAAAGCTGCAAGAACCATAAGAAGCTGCTATACCAGGCTGTGGCAGATCCTTCCATATAGCCAGCAACAATGTTATATTCAAACCTTTGCAAGGACATGTGGCTATTGTATTGGCCACAAAAATCAAAGGATAAAAGGATTTTTAGGTGCTGCAATTGAGTTGGTAGGCTATGACCCAAACATTGCCTGGGAACAGTCTATAGCCAAGTAATCTATGATCTGTTCAGCCGGGCTGTAAGATCATCTAACCCAAGACAACCACAACACTCACATCCCTGGGTACACATTTTAAACCCAGGGCTAGTATGTACATTTATTACATTACTGTACAAGAGGTGTACCTACTATTCAACGCCTCCTGGGTTTTTTTACCTTTAGCGTCTGATCTACCTTGGTGTCCTTGGCTTGTTGAAGCCGCTTTACTGGACTATTCCATATTGCCAAGCATCACTTACAGATAGATTATCAATGTGTTAAAGTTAGACAGGTCCTAGGCCATATTGATGGGGCTCGGGGTAGAGTTCTCAGACCTGTTTCTTATCACACATTATCACACTAAAATTGTAGTATAGGTAGCTCAAACTTATATGGATCAAGTAATTAAATGTACACTGAGTGGTGAGTGAGGAGAAACTAAGTATATGCAAATGAAATCTAGTTGAAAAAAAGAAAGAAAGAATAAAACTTATACTACAAGTCCATTGAACTATGATTTTATCTAATTGTACTCCCTCTCTTTTGCTTTCAACCTTGCTACCTCATCCTTCAGCTGGCTAATCCTCTCATAGAGATCCCCAATGATACCCTGCCTTCATTCCATCCTTGCTACCCTTTCTTCCAAGGAAGGAGGTGGACTCCACTGCTGTGCCAAGGATGACCATTATACATGTCTGGGAACCGGGGATGTAAAATTGAAGTTGATGAGGTCCCAGCCATCACTTTGAGGAGTGACAGTAATAGGGACCTCACCTCCCGGGGGTGTATGAGGTCTCAGTGGCTGAGGTGAATCCCCTTGTTGGGCCTCAAAAGGCCAGTAAGGTGGAGGCCCGGGGGACGGACGAGGGGTTCTATGAATGTCCAAAGGCGTTAACTGAGAAACCAAAAGAGAGCACAGAGACAAATGTATTTGACCTAGGTATACCAATATTCAAGTAGATGATTGTATTGCTATATATATGCCTAAAAATATCTCATGGATGCTTCAAATCCATCAGGACCTTAGAGGGCAGAATTATCAAGATTAATAATAGCTCAGGTATCTATCAAGAGTGGAGGTAAAACCACACTGCATCTCAGCAATCTATTTCACTCTTCACCACTCATCATCCTGTGACCCAGCCAGGTCGTCTAAGATGGGCACCCTATTACCCAGCTGGGTTGTCTAAGACGGGTGTCCTCTCACCCAGCCAGGTCATCTAAGACAAGCACCCTGTAATGTACTGACCCAGCCAGGTTGTCTAGGATGGGCAGCATCTCACCCAGCTGGGTTGGCAATGATGGGCACAATAATATCATGTCTAACATGGCCCAGCTGGCACACTCTGCCAGACTCCGCTGGCCCCGTCTATATAGTAATAATATCAGGTAATAATGCCCCGTCTAAGATGGAAGGTTATTACTATATTATGTGAGTGACAAGGGTAATAAATGTTGCAGTTTGTCGATATAGGGTATAATAAAATCCAGGACAAGATCCCCAGTCATAGTGTCTATAGAATTTTAAATTTTTAGTAATTTTATAACCATAATAGAAGGCTTACTGGACTTGGGAGCTCTTAATACTTCTCCAACGTCTCTGACCATTTTCCAATCCAAAGTAGCTAGAAGTGCTAGCATGTAAACAGACCCCCCAGCAGCTAGTACCCCATATTTACTTCCTAAAGCCCTCCACTCTAAAAACCTTCGTAGTGATGGCCTTGCTTCTAACTTTGCTATTTCCCCATTATTAAGGGCAGTAATGTTGGAATAGATAGATGTCTGTGAAATAAGACTTGTACTTTGTCAATGCCTAGTATATAAATACTGGATAGAGAAAATACCTTTCATAGTTCATATAGAGCTGCAAATAGCTCATCATCATAAGGAAATTGTTGTCAACCCCCTTTTGTCTAAAAGCCTGGCAATGTGAAATTGTTGCCCCAATTGAGTGGTCAGAGTCAGATCCAATATAGTGTGCAGTACTATCACTGTGGGGATCAACTTATATAAGCCCAGCTTATATGCTGAAAATATTCAATTTTAGCTTTTTTCAGCCAATCAGAATGCAAATATCCAATATCTTCAGCATATAAGCTGAGCTCATATAAGTTGATCCCCACAGTGTATGTTTGATGCCTTTTACTATTGCCTCAGGGTTGGGCATCTCTCCAGAGAGACAGCAAACTGCTAGTTTGGCAATGAGAGCCCCTGCACCTTGTGTATAGGCTAATTCTTGAGCTACTTGTAGTCCTCCTGTAGGGGTGTTACAACCAAAGTTTTGATATTCTGGTGCACAACTCAGACAAAGCTATAAAGGTAGTGAGGGGAGTGGTTACCCTTAGGATAGGACCGAGTTAGTTGTGGGTAAGCAATAGGAGGACTTGCTGAGGAGTCTCCTTGATCTATTGGTGTTACGATAACACAATTTTCGGACCTTCCCTTTACTTTTATTCTCCGCTTCACCCTTGTACTTTAGCTTTCACACATGGTGCCACGCGGCACTTCCCCTTTTTTCCAAACTCCTCATTCTCGCGCCACATTGCCTTTCTTCTTATTATAGACACAACTCTCTCACACAATAGAGCTGGCCATGCGGGCTAGGCCCCATGACATCATCAGCCACTGTCGCTATCAACTGTATAGTACATATGTACAAATAACCCTGTAGTAGTATATATACCCCAATAGATCCAGGAGACTCCTTAGCAAGTCCTCCTGTTGTTAACCAACAAACTCTCTGCAGCTCAAGGGGTAACCACCCCTTCATCATCTTCCTTATAGTGTGATCTGTGTGTGCCAGAATAACTAACTCTTGGTTGTTACATTAGGACTCGCTCTTCTACTCTCTCGCACGTTTGTGCAAAAAGTCCCACTGGGCACCCGGACTCCAGGGTGAAGGAGATTTGGTTATTGGTTGGGAATATCCCGCATAGCAGATAGGTGCGCTCTTTGCAACGGCCTTGTAGTGCTTTGGGAGAAGAACCAAAACCTGTGATACGCGGCCCCCAGCGTTGAGGGGAGTACTTAGCTCAGCAGTTGGTGTGGAACCGCTGTTGATTAGAATTAAAATACAAAACTTCTTCTTCGTTTTCCTCTGACCAGGCCGGGCACTTGCCTCCACCCGTTGGAGACGGGTTGACAGCTTAACAAGCAGATCACCCCTTGACAACTGTTCGGACCAGGGTTTATTACGAATACTTTTTATATAAATTTCAAATACTATAGTGTGGGTAGTCGGAGATTGAGATCTGATACTCAGCTGGGAAGAGGTTGATCCGGAGATAGCAAGCGGGGACCCCCAGTTATCTTTTTTTTACTTTACAAAGAGAACAAGTTGACATGTCGTTGCAACAAGATATGAACAGTCTGCTGCATGCCATGTGTGCACAGATTGCAACATTAACTTTGCAACTCACCGAGCTGCAGACAAACCCCCCTGCGGCAACCCCCTCGGTTGAGAAGAGATTCAATAAGAAAGTTGAAGTTGTCACTGACCCTGGCGCCTTCGAAGGAGACAGAGCGTGGTTCGCCGAATGGTGGATCAAGCTCCAAATTTGGGTCAAGGCAAACTGGGACGTGTTTGCCGACAATTTTGAGGTAGCCACTGCGGTGCTATCTCGACTAAAGGACCTGTGGCGGGTCGATATGCCCAAGTAAGACTGCAGGAATGCTACACCGCGGGAGTGTGGCCAACCTGGGACGATCTCAAGAAGGAGATCAAAAAATACTTCAAACCGCAAGCTGAGCGTAACTGGGCGCGACAGCAAATCTGTTCCTTCAAACAAGGAAATATGAGGACGGATGATTATGTTACCCGGTTCCTGGCTCTCTCCATCCAAGGAAGGCTTGGAA